CATAGATACATGTCTCTGAAGTCAGGGCCTGCAACCCCATAATCACAGTTATGGTTCTTTATTAAAATTTCATGTCTGGAGCATAACTGAAACTTTTTATTTTAAAAAAAACTTATTTTTGAAAACATCTTTAATGCCTGTAGTCTTTAAGTATTTGCTTATCTTCCACACAATTTATTCTAACAACTATCATGTTCATTGCTGTAAGTAACATAAGAAACAGACTGGGTGAAATATGCATAAACATATCGGACACAACATATATGTAACATAAAACATTATTCCTTCATTTACCAATCAGTATTTTAACATCTTTTGTCATTAATATGACCAAATACATGATTAGCAAACAAGGAAAACCTTCAGTAAAATTATTTTTCTTTGAGGATTTTTTTTGTTTTGTTTTTATTTTGAACATAAACCAAGATTTAAAACCTCTGAAACTATGTTAAGAAACTTGGAGAATCATTAGATACTGATACACAATGCAACCACTTGTTTGGATCAGTCTGTGACCTCTACTTGTCGATATTAAAGGATTGTACAATTTTGAATTTCCAGGTCCATCAGATAATCCGTAACCAGACTAGCATAGGCATGCGTCACCGTGACCATGCTGTAACTGGGAATGTCATGAAGGGTGTGAGCTCAGCTTTGGTCACCTACTTTTTTGGACCAGAGGGAAAAAAGAAGCTGACCGTACCAGTGTTTCTTGCCTTCCAACAACAGGTTCAAAATGAAGTGCTCAGAATCGAGGCAAGTGAACACCTCACTGATGTACATAAAGGATCTTAAATGAGTGGCCATGCCATATTGATTTTGTTAAACATGTTCATTCTTTTGATATTTCAGGAGCCTTTATTGGGTATTTAATTTTCAGATAGGATGGATGAAGTTATAGCCTGTCGACACAGCCCCAAGAAGTAGATGTTACTACCAATCTTAGCTCTCTGATTGGTTAAAAGTTTCCCACACCCCTAGCAGCATATGTATGCTATAAACAATCTTTCAAAACATTGTTAAGCATGCATGCAATGGCTATGAGACAAGCAAATATTATACAAAAATAGTGAAATTGATTGAAACTTCAGAAATCTTCAAGGCATGGTGGAATCAACTATTCTTAATTGATGGAAAGGCCTTCAGAGGCCAAACCAAAATTGTAAAATTCATCAACCCAGGGTCTCACATTTTCCCTGGGGAGTTTACTGTGATTTAATATATGAAAAAGTCAAATAGTTATAAAGAAAAATTATATTTTTAACATAATTTGTTTATTTTCTATTTGAAATCGTTCAAATTTGGTTAGAATTAGTTTTAGGAGATATATTTATTGACCTCGACTGACCCATTAGGGCTGATTGGCAGGTCCAAAAATGGTTCAAATTAACTGAAATTTCAAAAATCATCTTCTCAATAGGTAGATAAAGTAGTACCAAATACTCTTCATGGATGGAAGTGTCCTACAGTGCTTCACAGGTTCACACCAGCAGTTGCCAATGTCACATTTTGTCAAATCTTAGTGAAAATGAGAGGATAGTAGTCATTTATGTAATATGGGTAATAATGGTCATCAGACTTATCCAGGTAAAAATACAACCCAATTAACAATTAGTGTCATGTCACGACCACTAATCCCTTCCAACCTGCAGGTTCCGGGGAGACAGTATATACATATAGTAGACAATAGACTAGGCCTCTTACAGGTAGCCCTGGGCATTGGGGACATAACAGATTTATATGAGTTATCACAAACAACCTACCTATTTTGATAGTTACATGTATTTCATTTAACAAACACTAGGTTTTTTTTTTCATAGATTAAGGTGTATGTAATGAATACACCTGCAATTTATGTAAGATGTATGATAACACTTACTGGAAAGCTTGATTTTACAGTTCTAATGCATTCATTTAATATACATTTTTCCCCTAGTTCTACCAAAATTGTAATGGTTGACAAACAGAAAGTTTGGCATCATTTTAAGACAGAAATCAAAGTTAAGTCTGGTCAATTTGAATAGGCAGGCAGTTCAAACACGTGATTTTTTCAGTAAAAGCAATGATTTTCTGTCAAGTGATAGTTTGAACCCTTTCTAGTCCAGGATTGTTTGTACCTATAAAACAGATGAGGATATTCAACATTTCTGTCGTACTACTGGCTGCAGTGTACTTTGTCTCTGCTGTCTTAATATTTATATATGATATATGTATCTATATACATGTATATACATCTCTCACAACTGTCAGCTTTGAAGAACCATGGCAAAGTCTTGATCTGCACACCATATATCAAAGTCATTTTAAACATGTGATACACATAAAGTACTACAGAAGTAGATGGGATTTTGGAATGGAATGTGAACACAAATAGTAATACTTCCGGCAGTGAGATGTCATTGTCACTGGTAAAAAAATGTTAATTTTTATAGATACCTTTCATTATTTCATTCTGAAAATGTTTCAGATTGATGAGTTCATTTTGTAAAGACTTATAACTACTATTGTAAAGAAGTGTCAGCAACATTAGTAAACCCACATAATCTCTTTGTTTAGTTTGACCGTTATGATCCTGAGGATGGGAAGATCCAGGAAAAAGATTTTGGAAGAATTCTTCTTACTTATGCTGGATATCCAGATAAGAAAAAGACACGCATGCTGAAAAGAGTTATCAAGAAGTTCAAAGAGGAACCACAGGTATGAAACACTGCATCAGCTAGTAAATAGTTTGTTATTTCACTGATATCCTTATATCATATTGTTAAAGGAGCCACACCAAGCTAGCCTTAAAATTGTGATTTTTTTTAAAGATTTTTTTGTTGGTCAGTGTATATCAACAATAGGCAAAGAGGGCCTGCACTGCTCAGCTTGGGTATGATGACAATACAAACAAATATTTTACTATGAGATAAAATTTATTGGCTTAAAAATCTTTCCCTGCATATGGAAGTAATATACAAAATCTTTACCTTGACCTAATTGCCCTATCCACCATGCTACCATGCTACCAGGGGGCCCAAGAGCAACATTTCAAAAACCCAATTTAATTTATTCTCCTGCATCAAATAATTTTACAATCCAGATTTTGTCAAAATACATTACATTTCAGATTACATGTAGTCATGAAAAAGATAAGGCAAAGGCATAATTGGTCGATGATATTCTTAAAGTACAAATTTCCATTTGTAAATTTCTTATAGACAGATTTACATGTAGTCATGAAAAACATAAAGCAAAGAGTATCATAATTGGTCAATATTTGTTGTCAGCACTGAACTCATAGGAATATGATCTGTTTGCAGTAATAAGGCAGAGACTGGAGTAATTAGTGAGAGCTTTACTTTCTATCTATAGATACATCTGATTTTATGCTGCTGAGCTGTTTTGACAGCATTGATATATTGAAAGGGATTTTATTTATTGAACTTCCCCAGCAAGACAAATGTTTTTATTTATTTATACAGGTATGATTACACATTTAGTAAACACTAGTTTCATGAAAACATAGGGTATCACATTTGAGGAATACATCAACTTCTGGCGTTTCCTGAAGAGCATAAATGATGTGGACACAGCTTTAAGTTTCTACCATCTGGCTGGGGTTTCTATTGATGAAGGTATACTTTATTTCTATTGACTTTCATATTAACATTTCCTGTAGAGAAGGCATAATTTTGAGTATGCTACAACTTAATACAGTTTTTAGTCATACACATTCTGTCTTTAGTTTCTTCTTTTTTTTTAAGAGAGAAAGTATATTTGCTCTTATATATACATTCTTAACTATGTGTCATCATGTAAGGTACAATGTACATCTCATAAAATCTTGTTTACAGAGACACTGAAGCATGTAGCAAAGACAGTAGCCCATGTCCATTTAACAGATCATGTGGTGAATGTGGTGTTCACACTCTTTGATGAAAACAGTGAGTGTTGTCTTTATACAAAATGAAGAGTCAAATATAACAAGTGTAATCTGGGGTTGGAATCTACTTAATTTTTCTTCTAAACAAATTTTGAATGATTTAAACTTTTTACCTGTAACCAAATAGTAAAAGTAGTCATTTGCTGTGTCTGTTCGAAAGCAGGTGACTGTAAGGCTCTTGGGCAACTTCTTAGCGTCTAATGTTGTGTTCAGATAGTCATACATCCAAAATTATGTTCTGTTAATTTTACAATTGAAATTTCCCTATCATTAAAATATTAAGCTAGCATGGAAATTATTGAATTGAATCATAAATGTAAGAATGTCTTGTATTTCTCTTTCTAAATTTTAAAGGGTATACAATGAAATCAACCATGCAGGGGACATAAATATTTTGGTGGTTTAGGGAAGGTTTGGTTTGTAGAAGTGAGCCAAAATAACGGGTCCCGACTTGGATATAATTGAGCAGATTCCACTCATACAGTACATTAACCATTCCAACTGTGTACATATAAAAAAAAACTTTTAAGAGTAAAACTATTTTGGTTAGGTGAAGAAAGTGATGCTTGTTGTATCCAGTTTGTGACTTTATTAAAAAAAAAATACTGTGATAATTGCCTCACGATCTGGACTCCAACGTAACATAGTCAGACCTAGCTGACTTTCAAGTGTTTAGACATTTCTAGCCTCAGTGAAACCTCATTCCATACATCGCCATTTTGTTTGGTTTCAGGAAGTAATAGGTTTTGGGAAGGGTCGGTTTGGGGAATTTGCACTGTGAAAGGTTATTCAGATTTGTATTACATGTATGTAAATATGTAGTAAATTACACATACCTCTTTGAAGCAACATGAAGAAAATCTGGCTATGTCTACCTGTACCTTAATGCATTGCAGATGATGGTCAATTGAGCAATCGTGAGTTTGTGTCTGTGATGAAGCAGCGTGTGATGCGAGGGTTGGAGAAACCAAAGGACACTGGTTTTATCAAACTCATCAATGCAACCTGGAAGTGTACCAAATCCCAAACCTCAGCATTCCTTGAGTAATCTCACTGACTTTGGTGTGCAAAGGATCTCTGCTCTGACATCTCTGTGATTGTCTAAATTATAGTTTTGTTTTTTGTTTTTAAGGGGAATGTTTCTAATACATCCTGAATTATATTTGTATGTTCTTAAACTAGATAGTTATTCTATAATATTAGTTATTCTTTAATATAAGTTGTCTACCATCTTTAAAGATTCTTTACCTCTATACAAGATTTCATATTGACTTGATCATGAAGAATAAACATGCTATCCTACATTTGAATTGGTTTGTAATTTCTATATGTTACGTATCGTATATTGCTTTATATCATTTAGATCTTGGATGAGTTTGATATTGGTCAAACGGCAGCAACACTTGCCAAGAATGACCATTTACACAAGAAGCACAAGGGACCTGCATTGCATTGTTCACCTGGCTAATTCAGCTAATCATGCATTTGAAAAATAATTTCTGAAATACTTTCCCAGCCAAATGGTCAAACAGAAGTCGGATACATCCACCAAAGTGGTCAGATACATCATTCATAAAAACTGCCTCAGACCAAACTTGGACAAGGTCTTTGTACAGATTTTTCAGAACTTACATTTCCTACATTGCGCTTCACATCTCTGATGTCAGACTCCTGGACTCAGTTGTTCAAAGAATTGTTAGTTAATCAGTGGTTAGTGAAAAAATTTAATTATTGTCAATGAAAAAACATGGACTTTTGAAGAAAAAGTGACACTCAAAAAATATCTATCTCACCTGTGTCTACAAATCTACAGCTGTGAAATGATTGAAAATTTTTGTAATTGAGTTTTGATTTATATTTGAAATTTTCTTTGACCACTGATTAACTCACACCAAGTTTTGAACAACTGGGACCAGGCTGGTACAAAGTTAAGTTCGTTTGAACTAGGTATGCATAAAACCAAATTTGGACAGAATCAAGGAATTCTCACAAAAACACTATTCCTCAAGACCCACTGTTTACACAAAACTGATTTTCCTTTGCAAAGAATGCTAGAGCCCTGATATTTCTCCAGGATTTTAAAGAATTTCCACATTTTCCCCTGGGGGCCGACACCCACTTATTCAAAATAGATCTGTTTACCGAAGAATGTTTTGGACCAAATTTTGGCAAAATCCCATCACCCCTCCAGGAGGAGTAGGATTTTAAAGAATTAACTATGTTTTCCTTATTGAGCCTCATCTCTCCTGCCCCAGGGAGCTGAGACCCACTGGTTATACAAAATTGATTTCCCCTTCACTCAAGACCGCTTCAGACCAAATTTGGTCAAAATCCGCTTAGTCTTTTATGACTAGTAATAATTTGTAGAAAAAATTAACAAATGTCCAAGATGGTATTAGCTCTGGTCCTTTGGACCAGGAGAGCCAATAAGGATTTTCATTCAAATTATAATTCCATCAAACTTCAACTAAATAATTTCAAATTTTAAATCTTGATGAAGAATTATGGTTTCATTTTCATTTCCTTTTTTTCTTTTTCTTTTATGCAGTCCAGGTATACTGAAATACTTTTTAACAAATACACTTCTTATAACTGTCATAATTTTCATGCGTCACTTTTTACCACTGGATTCAGGAAATTATTTCAGCCTTACAAATAAAAATTATTAAGGATGTAACAAATATTTTGCATCCTTCACCAGTGACCTTTTTTTTCTTGTTATGGAAAGGTAAACTTTGAAATTGGAAGACAGTGACATGTACTTTTATTTGTTAAACATTACTAATTTCACAATAGGATTACATCATCAGTTTCTCAGAAAGCTTTGTGGGGCATTCATGCTGGCATGGTGTATTCTATTCACAATTGCAACTGGCTGTATTTAACAAAGAGGGTTATCAATAATAATTGATCACCTCATGTTACAGACAGTGATTATCTTAACTATTGGGAAAAGATAAAGGAATATTCTGCATGGATTTCACGGGATGCTTTTTAAGCCGAGAGTGAAACTGATGAATGCTCCCAAAAGATACTTTAAGGACACAAACTTTTGACAAAACCCAATAACTCTGTAATTAAGGGGTGGCAGACCCTAATTTGATAAACTGCACATTCTCTTAGTATGACCAATGTATACACCAAGTTTTATTATGTTAGTTTTAATGCAAGCAGAGCTATATTCATGAAACAAAATTTAAACAAAGAACAATAACAGTCCTGATAGGGTCATGGGCTCCTACTTTGCTACATTGCACCTTGCTTTCACATGACTGATGTATACATCATGTTTCGATATTCTAATTAAAATCCAGGCAAAATAATGCTTCAGACACAAAATTTTAACAAAGAGCAATTACTGTAATTAAGGGGACCATGCCCTAATATTGGTACACTGCACTTTGTCTTCATATGATCAATGTACACAAAGTATCATTATTCTAGCTTAACCGCAAGCAAAGTTGTGTTCGGACAAAAAATGTTTTAACAAGGGTTATGATTTTGTAACCGAGGAGTTAATGGCCCTGAATTCAATACACTGCACATTGTCATTGTATGATCAATGCATTCACCAAGTTTCATTATCTAAGTTTATAGTTATTCCAACCAGCCATAATTACAAAATTTATGACTGTACCCTACTCATTCTAATGACTTAAAACTTAGCATCAATACATCTCTCCTGTCGTCCGTTTAGACAGACAAAATTGGTGGGAAGACTCCCAGCCAAACCATATAAATATAGTGCTGCCAGAAATCAGGAACTGAATGGTAACTGGATGTCTGCTACAATTGTATTGCTTCAATAGGCTTATTTTCTGTTGATTTCTTAATTCACAAATGTTTCATTCTGATTGAACCTGTTATGACAAAATCAGGGTAGTGTGAAAGTTTGTAAAACTGTCTCGATAGATTTATAAAGAATTTTCGCAAATTATATATCATATGTATGTTTAAATGGTAAATTGATTCACTCAGTGCCATCTTATGCTTAGCAACCCTTGGGTTACAATAAATCTGTCTTAATCACACAAAGCTTGTGTCCCTCATAATTGATTGCACTCATTATGATATAAAATGAAAATTTTAACAAAAATTTCAAGTTTTATGTATGTTTATTACACTGTGATTGATGACAATTATGACAAGAGATTAATTCATGATGATACCTGGTAATTGAAAAACAAACAATAACAACACTAGTTCACTTAGAGTATGACACCAATAAGAATATATATGAACATCAAAACTTATACAAAAATAAGACATTTCTTAAGAGATAACTGATCTTCATACATTTGTCAGTAAGTCCGATGGTAACTTTCAGATCAGTAGAGTCTTTTGTTTGTGAGATAACATTTAGAAAGCTGTGTAGTTGGGATTTCCCATCAGGTTGTTGTTCATTCCTCCTCCCATGCCACCGCCCATGTTGTTTCCTCCCATACCCCCTCCCATACCACTGCCCATTCCCATTCCTCCTCCCATGTTGCCACCTCCCATGTTGCCACCACCATAGCCTCCATCATTTCCCATGAAGTTGTTGGACATGTTTCCTGTAGAAGAACAATTTGTTTATAGGTAGAAATCTATATTTAATCGAGCACAGCGCTCACTTTAATAAAGCATCATTTACAACTGTGGTGCTTATATTTTTGGTATGTTGACATTTAATTGCTACAATCTATGAAAGGAGTTGAAACATTGTTATTTATCATCAGCTTGGAAATATATAGTACTTTTCAGTAAAATGACGATAAGTACTACTGTTTGTGTGCTCAACGTGTCACTCCTATGTAATCTATCAGTAATTCTTTATATATATTCCTATTTTATTGATAAAAACCTTAACCTATATATCCTAAATAAATGGTTCAATTCTGTTTATCTTGTCATCAATGCCACAGAAATCAAAAGTAAACTTAGTTGTAATCAAGATTCTAGGTCTGCCATTTTGTTGTCGGTGTAAACATCCTGGCATAAGCCAGCCAATTTTCTAGTTTTTCAAGTATTTCATTGTCTTAATAAACACACTTAAAACACATGAAGATTATCATTCTAAGTGTGATACTTATTTTCTGACATTTCATCAAACAATTCCTACATTCAGCCATGCCAAGTAAAATCAACTTATATCATGACATCTCAGGATGTCATGAGGACCGAGGACATGTTAATAATTGCTGGATATGGGAGCACTTTTTCACGATGTCTCAGATGTCATGAGTACAGAAAAAGTTAATCAATTCTAGAAGAATATTTGACATTGATGCAATATTGGTCACCTTTCAGTACCCACCTCCATCATAACCACCTCCATAGCCATCACCATCGTATCCGCCTCCTCCCATGTTACCCATATTTCCACCTCCCATGTTTCCACCTCCCATATTTCCACCTCCCATGTTTCCTCCTCCCATGTTGCCACCGCCCATGTTTCCTCCGCCCATGTTTCCACCCATGTTTCCTCCACCCATGTTGTTGCCCATGCCTCCTCCAAATCCTCCCCCAGAGCCGTAGTTTGTACGTCCTGATGGTGTGGAGTTCAGGAAAAGTTCTATGTATCTGTGATCTGAAATACAAATATTCACTTTCAATAAAGCATCTGGACAGCTCAGCAATTAGTCTTTGCACATGCTCATCTATTAGGATGTTAACTCGAGGTCGTAATACCCTTTCATCTCCAAATACACTCAAATGGACTTACGCATGTTTTTCTTGTGGTTCTTCATAGCATCAACAGCTTCTTGGTGATCAGCAAAGTCTACATTAGCTTCTCCTGTTGGTCGACCATTGGCAGAAAACTCAAACTCTATGGAAATTGGTTTAAGTGGCTTAAAAAACTGAAATGAAATTTATATCACATTACACTAAATTCTGCTTAAACAATCTTGATTACAACTAAGTTATTTCTTTAAAGTTAAAAGAAACCCAGCAAATTTAAACATTGATATCAAATGTTAATAGCTATAATGCAGCCATTCCAACAGATTCATATTATTTCCCTCATCTAACAAATTACCATTAATTAATTTGCTGTTATGCTCAATAATATCATGTTATATCTTGCTGCAGTTCAATTTAAGGTGAACATAACAGTTTTTCCATTTTATCTCTGAATCAATATAACACACAACAATAATTATTTTTGATATAATTATATCAAGTTCTATAGACTATGAACCCTATATCTTTTAGAGAAAACAGGAGATAACTGATAATGTTACATACTTCTGCGATGTCATTTTCAAGAGCTTGGAATGGCAGTCCCCTCATGTGTACAGAGTGACCAGATTTGCTGGCATATGAGCTTCCAGGTGTTGTTCCTCTTGGTCTGTTGTTCATGGATAATTGCTGCATGCCTCCTCCCATACGTCCTCCTCTTTGAGGTTGTTGTCTCATGCCACCCATTCCTCCTCCGCCCCCACCACCACCACCTCCTCGTCTGTTACCCATACCACCAAATCCCTGTCTCATACCGTAACCACCACTGTAGTCATCAAAGTCATCTTCAAAGAATCCTGCAATATCATATAATAAAGGGAGAGGCTATCAAAGATTTGTTGACAAACTGATCATCACAACATTTTAAGCGATTTTGTTTCCTTACACCCAATGTGCATATCAAGTTCAGAACATTACACTGTAAAGGGCCCAACAGACTTTAACTGAATATGATTTCTGGAATGAACCCATAACACAAGAACAAAAGTCCATTCCAAACGTGACTTCTGTAGGATTTTTAGGATCAATATCACAAACCTTACTCCATGCATGAAATTTTTTCGTCTTCTTAAAAACCTTGTTTTACTCTCTTAAGAAATTTACTACAAAAATAACCATTCCAAATATACAGTGATAAAGGGTATTCCATTTAAGGATCATGTAGTTCATATCCTCGATATCCCTTTTTTTGAGCATACTCTAAAACAAAATTTTTAAGGAATTTTTTTTATCAAAACAAAACAAACAAAAATTAAGATGATGTTTAATTGTTACCTTCTACTCAAGAAACAACACAAACTAACCTTTGACATTACGACCTCCTCTTCCCATTCCATAACCTCCCATGCCACCTCCCATTCCCATTCCACCGCCACCACCTCCTCCACCGCCCATTCCAAAGCCTCGGTTATTCCGATCATAGGGCCCACGTCTCTGTTGCATTCCGGAGTTCATCAAGGGACGAATCATACGGGGTTGTCCAACTGCTTGGTAAGCCTCCTGCATGCTGCTTTTGAATATTTCTATGTATCTAAATGCGAAGGAGGAAATAAATGATTATTAGTATGGTACAATGAAATAAAAAATTACAAACATTTTAAGTGATTTGGTGAACATAATTAATACTTTATTATTCCAGTATCTAAATTTAAATATTCAAATATTTTATTATCTCCTCTCAATTTCAGTTAATAAATTCACATATAAGTACGTATTTCAAGTTATCCTTATGTACTGATATCAAAACTTACCATATTTTCAGATTTCTACATACAAAACAAATGGCTCAACCACAACAAATCTCACTTATATTCTCTCAGGTAGGAAGTATTTTCTTCAATGTTTCAATCATGTTTTCCTTCACTTTTAAACGATTACACTATCAAAGTAACCTCATTTTCCAATATAACTTGACATCATATAAATAACACAGAATAAGTAAAGTTCAATAACTTTAAATAATTCTTTAAAAAAACAGATTCTGTAAATAAACTTTTAACATCTGTGTTTTGTTTCTCAGATTTTTTTTTCTCAAATGTGTACACAGAAAAGAATTATTATTGATATGAATACTGTATATTTCCAAATACAAACCATTATTCAACTTTTTGCATCTAAATGTATCAAGCTCAAGCAAAACTCACTGCATTTCATTCAAAATTCTATTAATTTGATTCTTAAATATTATATAATAAAATCATGAAAAGACACAGTTCTCCTGACAATATTGTTGTAAATCTTTACATAACTGAGATCAATTTACAACAAGACAGCACTTTTTATCCATTTAACTGCGAAGCATTTTCTTTCAACATTAATATCGTTTAAATACTAGATTTCTACAGTATACCTTTTTCTTGTAAACTATTGTGTATAATTGGATGTTTGTATTTTAGATAAGCAAAGCATTTTGTTGATCATTTAAAAATTGGGTCTCAATTTAATATTTACTTTCTTTCTTCCAAACTCTGTGTACACATTTTCGAAAGTCTTTTAGCTTTACTACCAAATCTCTGATCACAAAAATGAAATGTAAATTGAGCCACTTACAATCATAGTTCCTGAATTAAGTTTGAGTATGCCTCTAAGAAACTTTTAAAGTAAATTTAAATACAAATTACTTCATAAATAATTTATCTTACTTGTAATATTTGTATTTTCTGCAGAAATTATCTTACAAATCCTGGCCCCATCCTAGGCCCATTGTACACTGGGTTTTTAATCTCACCTCTCCAACCGTCCCATGGTCCCATCTCCCAAAGTAGACCCGGCCATACCAAGGACATGAGTGCCAGACCCAGCCATACCTTGTTGAACCATGACCCAGCCAGAATAGGTTACCCTAGCTTTCACCCATAGATCTCATCAAATAATTGTAAATGTCTACTTTTCTTAAAGAATTCTAAAAATTCTAATTGTTTGCTTTCAGTACCTGATTTGTAATTCAGAGTCACACAGTCAGATTCTTGTTTTTCATATATCCTTGATTTGAATCATAGCCAAAGTATAGAATTTTAAGTTTTCTTTGGTTATATCTTGTCTCTAAATTGCTTTTACTACTTAACAATTTGCAAAATCCAATCAAAGACTTGGACAATCTAATAATCTTTGTAGGTTATAAAACAAGTATCAAATATAGTTACAAAACATTTTGAGGACAAAATCCAAATTTCCAGTTAAACATTGGAACAAATGAAGAGAGATCTATGGGAAAGCTCTGTGTGGAAAATAATAAGCCCCATAAAGGCCCATTCCTATCACCTGTGCCCCAATCGTTCCTTGTGTTTGAGCAAAGCCCTTTCCGCTATGTCTGGTTCAGCAAACTGGACATAGGCCTCCCCCGTGCTTCTCCCCTGTTGATCCTCAGGTAGCATTATCCCATTGGGTACAATCTCCAACCCTACGTCCCCCAACAAAACAAGCCATCAGTCATCCATGTCAGCAAAAACACAATTCACACGTGTCCAAAACATAAACATTGATAACAATCCAGCAAATAGGTTCATAAACTTGAATATATTTCACATTAAACTTTTATATAAATATATGTAAACATTTTAATAAGTTTTCAAAGAAAAAATAAACATCTATGAAAAGGTAACTCCACACAGCATAGTCTCTCACAATGGTTGACATGTTTCTGACTATCTCCTGACAAGACTAGCTGTCATCAGCACAATAAATAGCAAATTCAAGAGCTGAGGTGCAAAAAGACATTCACAATGGTAATTGTTATGTCACATTTCTGTTGTGTAATCAAGAAATGGGGGAAATCTCTATGAAGCATGGGATTAAAAACATGTTTCCTTTCAATAAAACAAGTGGGCATCCCATTAATGACAAACAGATGGCAAGACAATGAGTATTGTGAGTAAAAGTTCTGGGACACATTATCACAGTGTATACTACAAAATATGAAAAATAATAGCACCACAGAGCAAAGAAGAATTATATATCCATTCGTTATTGACTTGAAAAAGTAAACTAGCATCTAAAACATGCAATGTTGATAATGCACTTCAATAAAATTCTATTTTACTCTTGAACTGCAACTTCATACTTCAAACTCTATATTTTTGCCCATCAAAAGATTTATCAAATTTAACAAGAAAATACAACAGCATTTCAGCCAATTGTCATCACAGATACCTCATAAATTTAGTAAATTTCTTATTCAAGATTTTTTCTCTTTTCCAGAGTTCAACCACAGCAAATCTCATGAAATACACTAACTGAATAGCTGTGGTTCCAAAGTTAAAGAGACAGAATATAATGAGGTAACATTCCATTTTGCTTTTAGGAGGATAACAAACGGGATTGGATACTCAAAATAGAATATGTTCAAACCCTCATCGAACATTTTGACACCTCATATTCAAAACTACTTTGAAATATCCTCTTAGCAGAAGAAAATATCCTTTTTTGAGTAAATAAACCTTAGCAGGAATTCTTTGAACAATCTATGACACTAAAGTTTTTGATGATTGGTTCACTGATAAAAAAAATTTCTGTAAAGATGAACAAGATTAAACATAGGTTTTGTGCCATAAGAAACATTTGGCTACCTTAATTCTTCAATCTTAAAGTAAGTTTTAAAGTTCCTACTCACATTTGAACGAACACAATATTCTTATTTGTAATTACTTAAATTCCTTGACTTTTAAGTATTATTCTTTCAGTGTATATTATGAATTTTTTGTTACTTAACATTCAATGTGTTACCTGTGAAAAATTGTGCAATTTCTTCTTTAGAGCATCCAAAAGGAAGTCCACGCAGTCTAACAACAGCCTCGTTTGAACCAGACATTTGTCCTTGCCCTGCTCGCTTTATGACCCAATCCATCTCACTTGTTTTGGATCTAAAAACTATAAATAAGCAGCTTATTGATACTAATTTTATCAATCATTAACCAAAATATATTCATGATGCAACTATTTCCATATGCCATACTAAAAGGGACAAAAAGGTACCTTCAATATATCTGTTTCCCATGTGCTGATTGTGCTTTTCCAGTGATTTCTGTACATTTGCTTCATCAACCATTTGCACAAAAGCCTCTCCACTTGGTCTGCCTTCCCTGGAGAAGGTGAAATTAACTCCATTCTCACCTCCAACAACTGCCACATCATCTGAATAAAAATTGTAATAATTATTTCTTTATTTTTAGATATATCTCTCAAATTTGTTCACAATTTAACTGTCAAACATGTCTGATAAACATATTCTGAAGTTTTGGTAATACAACAATGGAAAGTATCATAAGTTATCCATTTTGGTCTAACAAGCTGTTTTAAGTTTCACACTGTACATGTTATCTGTATTATCTTTGGTCTGGAATTTTTAAATCGAATGACTTCAATTTTTATGTTTGACATCAAAAGAACATCTACATCAAAAAGCATGACTCTATCAGTACGTCAACACATTTCCATAGCAGACAATTAAATAATTTCACATAAACTTTACAATCTAATACTGCTTCCATTTCCTTCATATGTTGGATGTTGCCAATAGGAAAATTGCAAACTATGTTTACATAATAATAACTGCATGCCAGTATACATATCATAAATTTTAGGTACAAATTCACTGCAATTGTAGACCAAAAAAAAAAAAAGATACACATGCATACCAGGATTGTATGTGTACATTGACTTTACCTCCAAAGAACTTCAGGACTTCTGCAGCTGTTGCTGACCAAGGGAGGCCCCTCAAACGTACCACACAGCCATCATCATCACCCATCTGTTAAACAAAAGTAATAACATGATAACAAGATATTATCAGTCTTCAGATATATGGTCTTGATCACAATCAAATTTCTAATGTTTTAATTTCTCATCTTACTAGTATAGAGTTAGAAAAGTCACACAACATGCACCATATTGCACATCAAGCAGATGTTTTGTGAATTTCAACCAATGATATTAGCTCTAAACAATAGAGCTTTTATTACAACCCCTCTAAGGAAACAAACATTGAAGGTCCTAACCGAAACAAGGACGTTAAGCTCAAAAAAAGAAACAAACAAACACTGTCTTACAAGATAAAGGTAAACAAACCTGGACTCAGGACAAAAAGACAAAAGCATTTAGCCATTAGGTCTTTATTCAACCTTGTCAAAATATAACTTATATATTTAAGGCACTGACCATGTATTCTCTACTTATTATGCTCTAATCACGAAAGTCTAACATTGGTGTTTGTTTAAATCTACAGATAGTGCTTGTCGCTCGAGTGTTATGCTTAGTGTCATAATATATAAACATAAAGGAGTTTCGTCTTTTATTAACTACAGGCATTCGGATGACCGGATGATCCTGCAGTTGCGGTTATGTCTGTTCAACAGGGGGGACAAGTCGTTTCGGTACTTTTAAAAATGTTTTGAATTATGTATTTAATTAAGGTTTTCAGGTGTTTTGTCATTAGGAAATATTGTTAATTTTGTTACCGAAGGTCTGTTTACTCTAAATGACACTTAGCACAATAATCGAACGTTCGAACATATATTTAGTTCCTGATATCCCTTGTGCTCCAACCTTAACATATCATAAAGTTAACTCGTAGAAAGAGAGAATCCGAATAGTGGAGGCCATTGTAAGTATGATGGAAAGTAATATGAGCTGGACAAAAATCAAATCGCGTAAAGAGAGTCAGATCAAGCCCTAAGTGTTGGCACAGAACACGTGTGGCCATTGTGACCACGATCGATTCTAGGACGAGAAAAAAGATATAAGGGAAAATACAAGACGGGTGCTATTGACACACGACACACCAATCTCAAAATATTCAACATCAGTTATTGCACATTAAGCATATGGAATATTTAGAAAAATCATCATATTTATTTGCAAACTTACGGTTTATTTTCTGATGTATAGGACGCTGCAGCTCTCGATGAAAAGAAAATGGCGGACGTCGGAAATTGTATCATGGGAGTTATACTGGAGAAAAAAGAATATTCAAAGAAACGATGTAAACCAAAGGATACCCTTTTTCTTTGATTTTTTTTTTAATTTGAAAAGAGATTTACAAATATTGTTTTTACTTCATATGTATATTTGATTGAACCATTGACATATTTACTTCCGCATTTCATTGGCGTTTCCGGTTTGATAACTTCAGAAAGAAAAATAGTGTCAACAATATCAAAAGAAATCGGTTGCCATCGACGCATCAGATGATAATTTCTGTTTGAATGTGTTAAGTATTCATTTTAGAATACGTAAAGAACCCCTTCTATCGCACTCAGTGCCACAACACTCAGGATGAGCTTTCTTTTGTAAGTTTATTTTGTTTACCATCCGTTTTGTATTCTTCTCTACCTACAGATGTATCAAGGTAACAATCTTACTTAGACTACGACTGGATATTATACATAGCTTGACACTTCAATCTCATACGTTATAAAACGTTTATAAACACTGACACAAGTCTCACAATTCCTGACATTTATTATTCGACCAGTTTTAAAGATACGCAGTAGGCCTAATGTTGATTTACCGTTATATTATTAAAATTCTAACTTCATTTAAGATACAGGACTACTGAAGTGTTTATAAACAACCGAGTTTAACAGGTATATACTGTAGTATGACATTTGCGTGTGCTATGTACGGTACAGCAGTGAAGAAACATTACTGAGAGAACTGGCCCGCTTTGGAAATCTTGAAAGTCTATGACCTGTGAAATATTTTTGTGCATGATTTATAGTAATTTTACTGTCGGAACTCAACGTTCGTTCTAACACAAGTTACAGCACACATTCAACGAGCTTATTGGAATTCATAAACAATATGTTTGTTATTGAATACATGTACTAGAGTTCCATAGCTCCACAAGGCTTCAAAGCGAGAACCAGTAATTTTTGTAGAAAGTCTTTCAGGCTAGTCAAGACACAGACACCTGTATCTGGAATATAAACAATTCAAGCAAAAATTCAGTCCACTATACATTATTCAAAAAGGTTGAACAACTTTCCCATTTGAAGATAATCTCTGGAAGACAAAAGTGTTTATTTGTAAACATAGACTTTCATAGTGTCAAACTGAAATACTTCCGTCTTACATTGATGAATAGACCAGTTGGGAAAGTTCAGTGAAGATGGTGACATTTATCTAAATTATTCTGACATTCTATCAAATTTTTATTATATTGTCTTGAGTCCATGGACGTCAAAAACATGGTCCAATATATAAAAAAGCAGCCTGTGCCAATATCGTGTTTCAAAGTTCAATGCAAACATAAAATATTTAAGTCACATACTTTTTCTGTGTCTACCTACATTTCGAAGGAAATTAAAGCAGAAACTCATCCACCAAACTTATCGAGGTCCAGCAATACCCAAGGTATTTCCTCAACCACCAAACTTAACGAGGTCCTGCAATACCCAAGGTATTTCCTAAAAAGTCCTGACATATTTTATTACAAAAATAATGCAGACAAATATAAACACACACTCAGCTTAATTTCACATATGAAAAAGAATGTTCTTAGATAACATTAACTGTTTTTTAATTGTAAATGAATTAAGTCATAATCTTGATAAATGGCTCCATCCTTTGTACAAATGGCTCAAAAGTGAACTGAAAGATGGATAGCAAAACAACTTTGCTTACATAATTTTCTGAATATTTGTGCATACGTAAGAAGTGGTGAAACCAGGCATGTGACTAGAGGCTAGGAGGCATGGCTAACATTTTGTAAACTAAAACAGGGTAAGGTGAGGGGAAATGTACACTAAGTGAATGTATTGTTATTATAAGACATGCCCATTATTGGAGATGAAAAACAGACATTTTGATCCATGTGTGATAGGATTGGAGTTCGGACGTTCATTGACTCAAGACTGATATTTAAGAAGTCAATAGAATGTCGCAATAATTGGGACTAGTGTGAAAATATGTTTTTGGTGTTGATTTTAGCTTTGAATTGGCACAAATACTGAAATATAATTTTTTTTTTTTTTTTTTTTGAGGAGATTAGAACATGATTCAGAGGATCTCAAACAGACAAGAAAATACCCAAACACTGATGTTTCTTTCACAGCATAATGTCCAAATTTTGAAATTTGAATGTGTCAAATTGTATATGATGAAAGATGGAAATGCCTATACCCCTCCAGAAAGTGGAACTCATTTTTTCATTGTGACATCAGCTAGTGATCAGACTTTTAATTCCCTGGGCCACAGTTCTACTGTTTTGTCATCCGCGTTACCAATCTTGGACACCAGGTGTACTGTCACGTCATTGACATTGCCAGACTTAGATTCCAGGCCCCACTTGTATAAAATATCTCAATTTCAGATTTCCTCAAGCCCAGATTTTCCTCAGCTAATATCTCCTTGAACATATCTTGCATGAAAATTCTGCAAGGAATTTCAGGAAATCCTAGCCGATGCCTTCCTCCTGTTCCTTGAGAAAATTTTATACAAGCAGTTTTTGAGGAGATATCAGCTTAGGAAAATCTCGACTTGAGGAAATCTCAAGTTGAGATGTTTTATACAAGTTGGGCCAGGTCTACTGCTAAGTCATTGACATTGCCAGTTATTGACTGAAGTCTTAGACCCAAAATCTACTGATATGTCAAAATTGCTGGCATTAGACCCAATGTCTACTGTCATGGATATTGCTGGTCTTTGGCCTGAGTCCACTGTTATGTTATTGATATTATTGGCCTTAAACATTTGACCCCAGGTCTAATGTTGGCAACAAACCCCGTTTGCTTGCATCTTCTTCAAAACTGCTGAATTTGAAGTCTAAACATTCAGTTTTTCTGGAATACATTTTATAATGAACATGATATCTCCTTTTTCCAGAAAACAGATTACAATGTACATGAATTCTAAAATTTTCTTGTTTTTGCTATGTCCTCATCATAAAATGGCCGAGGCATCAGATTTGGTGATGCCTTTGGCCATCATTCTGTCATTTGGTCAAAATTTGGGTTTTCACAAACTGAAATTTATTTGCCTCTTGTCAACTTATCATTCCAAGAGTCTTTGCCCTTGGAATTAACTTTCATGTACTCGGTGCACCAATTCCAAGTCGGCTAGTAACTTCCCTCAACAGTCACTTTTGGTCAATCAATTTCACGGTCACCTCTTTGAAAGCCAGTAACATTGAAAAGTTCAGCAATTCTCATTTGTTGCCCTTAGGAATTGATGTTGATTGTGATTTATACTTGAAAGATAAATCACTAATAGTTTCGTCAAGATTTTATACCAATAGTCTGTGTGTTTTACTTGAATACTTCTTGTTTTTCAAAGTGGAAACAGGAACAACAAGACATTTAAGCCCAAAAAGAATATACCTGAAGGCACACATCAGCATGACTTGATGAAACATGCAGCTGTTACACTGGGTAGTGGAAACCTTCGCCAAGCTGTCATGTTACCAGAGGGAGAAGATCTCAATGAATGGGTGGCTGTCAATAGTAAGTTTTTGTTTAAAAAGAAAAAACATGCAGTAATCCATATGACTGGTTCTATAACCACTATGTTTAATATATAAGGATAAAGAAATAATGACTCCATTCCTTCACTCAATATGTAATTCTACATATTCAGGGCTCTCGATCTGCCAGATTTGGGATCGATATTCGGCCCCATTCCCAATGCAAAATAGTATCTTTTTTTCCCAATTTAGACCCCAAGATTTCCCAGTTCTGAGGAAAACACCATTATTTTTCCCAATTCTAAGGGCCCCGGGCCCCAGTCCCAAAATGAGGTGTGAGAGCCCTGATATTTGTGACCTTTAAAGCCCCAATATACTTAAAAATCACTATAAAAAAAACAAACTTTATCTTATTTTCACCGTAATATATCTAACAAAACAAATACTTTCCTTTAATTAAAGAAAATAAAACTGACTGTTTTCAATTTAAATAAAAATTGGAAAAAATGGAAAATAAACAATGTGGGACCCACAATAATTCATACATTACCGCTCATAGCGATGACATTGCGCATGCGCATATTCCGCATGTGTAAAGGCAGACACAGTACAGACGTTCACCAGTCGCTTCCTTTTTTTCCAATCATACATCAGGCCAGTTCTGAATTCTTGCGTCATAATTGTGCGTCGTATCGTTTCTAAACTAATTATTCCTTCTAATAATTTCCCAAAAACTGAATGTTTATCACAGGAATACCTCAAGTCTATGAAAAGACTTCGCAAACAATGTTTGTAAACAAAAACTTACCGAAGACATATCTGCATGTGCTTCCTCTATAAGTAGAAACCTCAACTCTCGCGAGATCAGGCCATGAACTTTCCGACATGGTTCGGCAACAATCGTAATTTTGATGGCGGCGTGTTTAAAATAGAGGTGTGTTTACAAATAGCGAGTTTCAACTGCTCATATATCAATACTTTATGCACAAAGTCATGGTAACTATTGTTTGAATAACTTAATTTTAACTACATCTTAGAGAATATCTCAATAATTATGTGTGATTCTACACTAAACTTTTGGTGAATGTTATGTATATTGGGGCTTTAATCTACAAACTCCAGCTACATTTCATATAATGGTACTCTGAAGCATATCCGACAATGTGGTTAAAATAGGCAGCAGAAGTTGGGTTCTGCATTTTTTGTGAAGAGTTCCTTGTTATAAATCTCTTTTGATAAAGAACTTCCTTCTCCCAGATACAAGCTGATACCAGTAGTTATTTACAGGTTGTAGGTTTTGTTTAGAAACACAACTTGGAGTGTCATGTTGTTTCAGTGACTCATGTGTAAGAGATACCGATACTTAAGAAGGATGAAAGTTATAAGGAAATGACTGCCCTTCACCCACTTGTATATACACCAATGTAATTTTTTCATTATCACTTACCAAAAATTCAAGATAGGTATTTTTTATTTCAGCGGTGGATTTTTTCAACCAAATAAACATGCTGTATGGTACAATAACAGAGTTTTGCACAGAGGAAACTTGTCCAGTCATGTCAGCAGGACCAAAGTATGAGTACCATTGGGCTGATGGTCAGGCTGTCAAAAAACCAATCAAATGCTCTGCACCAAAATACATTGATTACCTTATGTCTTGGGTGCAGGACCAGCTTGATGATGAAAGTCTATTCCCCTCCAAAATTGGTAATTTATCTTTGCATTCAAATATAGCAATCCACCCCTTTTATCAATCAAATCTTGAAAACTATTCATTGATAAGTTAACATTTCTCAAGTAACCAATACAGGTATGTTTTATTTTCAGAATCTTATTCAGAATTCTTACCAGTACATGTAGAAAAATTTGTGTCCAAAGGTAGAAAAAAACTTTTGAATGTCAATCTTTTTGTACGTTTCTGTAACACTTTTTAGAATTTGATTCATTAGATTCAGAATAAGTATTGTTATTATTTCAGGTATTCCATTTCCAAAGAATTTCCTTGCTTGTGCCAAAACAATACTTAAAAGACTTTTCCGGGTTTATGCACACATCTACCACCAACACTTTAAGGAGGTATGCCAGCTTGGAGAGGAGGCTCATCTCAATACTTCTTTCAAACATTTTATCTTCTTTGTATATGAATTCAGTCTCATTGAAAAACGAGAGCTTGCCCCACTGCAGGAGCTTATCGACAAACTCACAAGCAAAGACAGATAGAGGCTATGACAGGGTACACACTAGTCCAAATTTTTCCTAATCTTGTCATATTCTCAGTTGGTGCTTCCAATATCATATCTCACTGTACATGTATGTGTTAAGGAGGCAATCCATATATGTGCATTGTGTGGGCAACAGCAGCCAACGTCACTGATATCACATGTTGATAAACAAACTGAAAGTCTCCTTGTTTATTGGTACATGTTTTTGGTTCACATTCTTGAAATAATGCATCATTTATGAAAAGATTAAAGTTAAGAAATACATGTTCATGTAAAGGCTGTTTGTAGTGGTACCAGAGCTGGTATCTTTTAGACACACAGTGTATTGTTTAACTTCTCAACACTTATATGAATGTTTGCCTTGTTAAGATCTTCAAATTTTGGTTGAGACAGTATTTGTTTTTGTTAGGTGTGTGATTGAAAAATGTATACCAGCAAGTTAAAGGTGTATATATACCAACAGATTGTTAGATATATTACATAACCTAGGGAAGACACATTTGTACAAGTTTTGTGTTTTACGGTAAACCTTCGGTCAGTTGGAATAGGCAAGAAGTTGTTTGGTTTGGTGATTTTTTGAACCCTTTCTAGTTTGTTTCACTTATGTTTCAAATTGTTCAAACATGTCGCCAGACCATGTGTCTTATGATTTAGGCATTGGCATCACAGTAATCGCTCCATCTGATCAATATTTATATCAAGGTTAAAACACTCTGGGTAGTAGGCTGTAACTTACCATTGTAAGCAGTTGATAGTGTCCAATAATACACATTCATGTCACTTAATTAGCAATGATGTGTAGTGTGATTTATTTAACATCTTGCTGAAACATCATGCACACGTCATCAGACGCAACTCCAGGACCCTACTCTGCATTACAGGCTAAGCAATCGGTAATTAATTAGGGACCATGGGATGTCAGCATGTGTTTTGTCAAAGAACCACATTTTCATAAGATAATCACATCAAGACTATCCCAATAATTGTAAGATTCATAAAGGTTTTAACAAGCGTAAATCTGTAGTCATATTAAGTCTCAATCCACACTTTGCATACTGGGATGTCCACACTAACTTCCGCCAATGCACATGCAAAATTGTGTTTTTATGGACTGGTTTCTTGGTCATAGTTACAATAAGTGTTTATAAAGATAATAATTTTATAATCAAACCCCCTAAAAATCCCATTCCTGACCAGTAGCTTCCTGCCCTGCTAGGACTCTTTCGGACACATTATGATTTTGGACAAAATGAACCCTGATAGCTAAAAACTGATATATTTTCAAGGGCATAATTCTGTATAATATAGATATAATAATATTTAATTAATTTTGTTTGAACTGACCGTAAGTTTTCCGTAATTGAGTGGATTTCTGCAGGTATTTTGTATGGTCTGCATTATTCTGCTCAGATTACACATGAAAACAATTGTGCAATACTTCTCTACATTTTTGTCGAAATCTGAAACGGCATATTTTTTTAAGCAATTAAGTGCAATAAGACATGATGAAGATATGTTCTTTGTAGTGATGTTCAATTCTTCAGTATTTTGTACGAATGTACAGCATGACCTGGAGGAGAAGACCCCTATGAAATATCTAGTGTTATATCAGTTTAGGCAGATGGTTCATGTAATGAATCACCTTTTTTTTCTTTTTTAACAAAAATGGTTAAGATGTCAATAATAGGTTGTACTGTGGTAAAATTAAACGTCTGTCTCTAATTATTTAAAGCTGCTTAGGTCTTCTGAGATATAAATGATGTATGATGACTCCTCTCTTTCTCTAGCAGTTCACTGCATATAAAAACAAGGCATCAGTACAGCAAAAAACTAGAAATGCATGTGTATATTCCTTACCAAACCTGAAAGGTTTGTGCCATATTAATAAGGAAACTTTGAAAAAGGTTAAATATTGTAAAATCACTTTTCATATCCAGGCAAGTACTTACACTAATGAAAAAGACACAGTGCTGTGAAGTTCTTTGCTTGGAAAATTTCTCGAAATGTTCTGTAATTTGGCATCAGGACATTCAGCAGCCAAGTAATATTTATTGTGGTATGATTGATGGTGTGAATGATGTGAAGAAGTTTATGATAATAAGTTGCTGTTATTAACTATACCAGTTTCTCAATTTCTGTCTCTGATAAGTTGAACTGGATTCAAGGTGTTTTTAAATGTGTTACTGTTACAGTAAACAGCATTGTTTTGCAAATTTGTGTCATAACACATGCATTGTTATTACCATGATAAGTTTTATATATATTATATAAATGTATATATACATATTATTGTAAAAAAAAAGATTCCTACAATTTCGCTTGTTATATATATATATGTAAATAATAGTAATGTAACACTTCAAGAATCGTTCCCTTTCTTGCCGTAAATAGTGTTGAAAATGACAGGCAAATTTCACGTGAAATCCACAACATAAAATACAGTACTGCAAATTAATAAACTATATATTTCCATGGACAAAAAAAGTGATTTCCTTCAGTATCCAGTAAGTCATTTTTTATTTGACCGTAGCTTGTTTTGATAAGCAAATGTACAACATTCCACATATCTTCATTACAATTGGCTTTTGATTCCACATGGAAATGTTGATGAGAGAAAAGGTGGATTGATAAAATTTGAAAATAGATCTGTTGACAGATTGTTGATACTGTAATATATGTAGATTGTAACAATGGCTGTAGAAAAGGAAGGTACTGAAGTTGATACTCTTGTTTACTAGAATTTGGTGTGGCTTGGATTTTGCATCTTGAACTTTCCCTCTTATAATTTGAATTTTGTTAAATTTATTGTCCTGACATTTGAAAAAAATAGTTGTCTGGAACTGTTTCTTTGATAGCAGGTAATCTTAAAATTTTTGACTCATTTAGTATTTTATGGACTTTTACTCAATTTTCTCATTGTTTAGCCTTTGAAAAGGAATACAACTTCAACCTAAGCCATCAATATTGACATAAATAAATCCTTATCTTCTTAGTTTACATTCAATGTCAATAAACTTAGTCTATCATCACATATTAACAGATCTGGAAATGTCTAGTAATTACATCCTCTTCAGTTGTGTTAAAAGAACATTTTTTCTATTGACATTACCAATCTGAAGAAAATGTTCCTAAATATCTTGTTCAGGAAGTAAAATCGCCAATGGCCAACATTTGTCCACCTAGGCTATTGATGAAGTTGTGTATCATGATAGACATTGACCTAGGAGTAGAACTAAACAGAACGATACAGACCAGTATTGTGTACTGATAACAGTACACATCAGTTAAATATCTTTCTGAATAATAATAAGTGCTTACCATACATTTACATGTATGTTGGTTCGGACCTCCTTCCTATCACAGCTTGGTTCGTAGAATGTACTTTTGAAAAACTGTAAAGTAGGTTTTAGGAATAGGGGTCTCTGCTTTATTAATTAGTTGAAGACAGGTTTGAAATTTTTGGAAAAAGAAGAACTGTAATTCAGTATTAACACAAATCCTACTTTTCAATCTAAAGATTTATTTGGGAGCTAGCTGCAATAAGCAGGTACATCAGAGCAGGGCCCAGCAGACAATTAGGACTCAAGTCATTTATATCATATATTTTGAGTCTTAACCAATCTTGTTGCTTTAGTTTCCTATTTGCTTGCTAATTTCATTATCATCCATATGTATTCGTTTTTTGTATATTTCATTCTTAGATGCCAAATGTCTTTAAAAAACTGTGTTATTTAGTTAGGAATGTGATGTTTTAGTACATATGTTTGTTGTTATGAAGAGCATGGATCATTTTATTCTATCAGTGGACAAGTGCTTTCTCTGTAGAAGTATTTAACAATAGATTGTTTTAGTACACTTGTAGTTCTCAAATGTGACCAGGTGGTCAAACCATTAATACTAAACTATATTGTATCATGACACAATATTTGGCATGGCTTTTAAGAAAATGGCTTGGTAGAATATCTTAATAGTTTCAGTCTGATTTGAAGTGATAAAGAAGAGACTGTCCTTTTGAGCTATAGATACATAATCTTGACTGGCAATGTAACTTTGGTTTCTGCTGGATAGAAATTTATGATATTGGCAGGTATATTTGTGGAGCCTCAATGGTTCATGTACAACTGGCCCAAATCACACCATTTCTGTAAGAGATATCAGTAAAAGTAGTGGAATGGAAATTTCATTTATTTAATTTGGATATCTTTGTGGTCCACAAAATTAATATTTATACACAAATATACCAATTTTGAATACAAAAGCTTATAGAATGAATTATTCTACATTAACATCAGATTCACAGGTAAAATTTACACTTGCAGTAATGACAAATTTTAATTGTGTGTCACCTCTGATATAATATTGAGGATACATTAGTTTTCATTTTTTGTATTCTTAAATCAAAAGTCCAACCTGCTAACTAAAACTTAAGGAAACATATACAAAAAATTTCCCATTGATTTGAAATAAGTCTGGTTTCAAATTTTATTTTGAAGGAGATGGTGTTCGACTAATTAGGTTTTGTTGTAAACTTAAACTGTTTGAGGAACTAAGAATTTCTCTTTGAAGATCAATGAAGTTGGCCTGTTAACATTTAAGGGAATGGTCCAATAAAGAGATCTATCTAAGTTTAATGGCTGTAGGAGAAAGTCAGTAATCTTTATCAGAAGTCACACATGTAGCACATAATGGTGTGGTAGCATAATTGTAAGCAAGTCGCACCTAGCAAGCTTTTGGCCTGTCCTGGGCAAAGCATTTTCTATTGCTTGAATAATGATGGTCCCATTGGATAGACTTTAGAGAGAATGTGGCCTAAGTTGATTAGGTATTTTATGAAAATCCATGCAAAGATGTAATAAACGATTTCACTACACCTTGAAAATGGTTTTGTTTTTCATCCACGCAAATGACACGGTGTGCAAATGACATGGTGAGTAAATGACATGGTGTGCAAATGACATTCCAGTATGGTACACATTCAGTATCGACCTGTTGGTTGACTTTTAATTTTAACAGTTTTTTCTTTAACTTGAACTTCCAAAGTATCCAGGATCCTGATATTTTGCCAACATACACCTCGGATGGCATGCAATAAAATTTCTAAATATCAAAAACCTTGACATTTCTCAAGGTCAGGGGTCAAATGTTATCAATTTTCAGAATTACCCACGTTCTTGAGGATACCAGGTCATTTTACTTTGATTTGCATATTAAGCAATTTGAAACATTCGAAAAGGTGACCGTTGAGAGCTCCAGTGCTAAACCAACATTTCATTGTTGATATGCTTTGGTATACTCTTATATATCGAGTTTAGGCTATTGGGTCAAAGTTTAGTGCTGGTTAGGGTAAAAAAATTAATTTGAACTAAAAAAAGCACAGTTTAAAGTTTTCATGGTAAACACCTTAACCAGTTGACCCACATTCGTGGTATTTGACTAGCATATTATGTACTGAAATACTTCTATTTTCAGCAAGAAAATCTTCGACAATTTTGCTTCATTATCAACACAGTCCTTTGGCCTTTTGAACGTTATGTGCATTCGCCTGTGCTCCTTATCTCGATGTCCACTGTGATACGATTACTGATAGCAGACATTATTTATAGTACTGTAACAACGAATCATGGGTCTTTATCTCTACCTCACATGCAATGTTTACTTACTTTATTTTCCAATAATACAAGTGTGCCAACGCGTGGACAGCTTCACTCAATCACACTAACATGGAATATTGGTTTCTATCGTTGCTTTTAAGCACCGCCATGCAGGTCGTCTCGACAAGGGATGTCGATCCCCAAATCTATATGAGATCGGTAGGCATATTTTACGTTTTGTTCTATTCTGGCGTTCTCTCATCAGTTATATAATATTTATGTCTCCAAACGAAGTTGGGGGACGGGGGACATATTGTGTTTGCTCCGTTTCTTCTTATTATTATAATTTATATTGCCGGTATTCTTATTTCTTCCACTTTCTTCCGCCGGCGAGGTTTCCAATGCGTTTCTCAAAATCTATTGCATGGAATTTAGCAAAACTCTCCACACTTATTCATACACGCGAGGCGGAGTGCAGGCCCCTTGAATTTTTTCAATCGGTCATCTGAGCGGTCAGCTGTGGTCAAAATTTGGCCAAATTTTAGATATTGTCCGATTTTCGTGAAAATTGGTATATATGTATTAGTTGGCAATCGGAGCAAAAAGGCGTAGTCCATTTATTATCCGGCCATCGATCGGTCATCTGAGCAGTCAACTGTGGTCAATTTTTTCATTCGGTCATCTGAGCGGTCAGCTGTGGTCTGAATTTGGCCAAATTTTACATATTGTCCGATTATGTTTAAATGGACCATTGAGATGTACTTAATATTGAAAGTAGCAGACACAAAATAAGCTCTTTGTCATACTGAGGTAAGAATACTTCTCTATATACCAAACTAAAAGCATCACCATTTCCTCTCTTCTGATGTTTTAAAAAATTACGTTCTCATTTCCATTCAAAATTGGTGTGTTCATGTTTGGCATGACTGCAGGTCTGATAATTTTGATCATTTACTGCTGAAGGGGTTGTTTGGGGGACATTTGTAATGGTCCCCATTACAATTAATACTTGTTAATTAATATCTTTAATTTGTATATTTAAGATGGTCGCGATTTTCAAAATTGTAGTAAGCACACGACATTTCGGCAGATTCACACTGATACTGAATATCATGGGAAACCCTATGTAAGCTTATCATCTGAAAAAAATGTTTTAGTATTTTCAATACTGACGGTTTCCATTAATTGCTATATTGGTTAGGCCTACGAGCCCGAGTTTCCCGTGACCTCCACACTTCAAAATGTCTGGTGTTGAGGCGAATATTGAGGTCAGTGGGATGAGTTGCACTTCTGGTTAACCACGTAATCGTGTAAACTTTATACTTTCGATCTTTGTCAAGTTTTCTGAATGTCTTCTTCAACCTTTCAGCCGGAGATGATACGATACAATGGCTACCCTGTCGAGGTTCACAATGTGACGACTAAAGACGGATTCATCCTCGAGACACATCGCATTCCAGGAGGACGAAAAACAATCAAACCTGGTATCATTATTTCAACTACTGCACCCTTTACATTTATTGTGAGATCAGTTTTTTTATCTATTTTGAGATACATCAGTGAATGAGTTGATTGGTACGTTCCGAACGTCACTATACAACATACAGTAATATGATAATGATGCCTTGTCGTATTCAGCTTGACCAAGTCATAATGATGACATTTTGAGTTTATTTGATTAAAAGGATACCTGCTTAAATTTATGTACAAATCACGAATGCCGTAGTTTCTCTTGCAGTAGCCAATAGACCAGTCGTTCTGTTTCAACACGGCCTAAACGCCGGGTCCGACTGTTTCATCGAGAATGGACCTAATGCCAGTCTTCCTTTCATACTGGCTGACCAGGGAATGGACGTTTGGCTGTCCAACAGTCGTGGGAATGTATACGGTTTGAGAAACATACACTTTGATTCTTCACAGGACGAGTTCTGGGCCTGGAGGTAGAAATAACTTCTATGGATGGGGTAACGGAAAAGGGAGTTCTATAGATATGTGCATTTGATTCTGTTAGGCAATGCTAACTAGAATAACACTTTTAAGAACTTTAGGGGCCATATATCGAATACAAGAGTATATATTGGAGTTCTTCAGTATAGCGGGTTGCTAAAATACAATATTTTTCAATCAATCGCCTTGATGATAGTTCCATGTTCTTTGGTGAACGCTAGAAATAGTCTCAAGATATTGTTGAAGTCAGAGGCATGTGCAGACGTACGTGAATGTGATTAGAATTTCTTTTTTTCATAACTTCATTATTTGGATTAACTCACTATGGTAGTATGGAAAAAACACAACAAATAACAAGATGTCAATACAATCATAATTAAAACTCAAATTCAATAAAACTATATCAAATCCTGAACAAAACAATGATTTACAACGAGACACCTGAAACAGTACAAGAAGAATAAGACCAGGTATTCCGGTGGTGTAAGTAATTAAAAAACTATCAACATTTGTAAAAATACAGAGAAGATGTTATTCATCATGTCGTGACAAATATCACAAACGACAGAACATCGTGAGTTTACTGCGATGGAAAAAGATATATCAGAACATATGCATAGTACCATGTGATCGAAACTGTTTGAGACACCACAAAATCAATATATTTGTATACGTTGTACAAACAATCTTGCAATCAGAGAAGTGTTGTGTGTGCATATACATAAATCTTCACTTATGAACTCCCTATTCGTGGAAAGCCGTTCAGTACGTTATCTTTCTTACAATAATACTTGGTTTCTTGTCGTATCCGATCAGCCATTCTTTTGACCATCTGACACTCTGGCCATCATCACCTCATTCAACAAGTTTCTTGAATACCACTGGATACAAAGTCAATCGTAATAAACCGTTAACTGTTTTTAAGATGAACAACCTGTCTTTTGTGTGGCCAATTCACAATTTGAAATGTCTGTTCATAGCTGGGATGAAATGGCGACACGTGACCTGCCCGCTGTGGTTGATTACATTCGCGGGGTGACCAATGTCTCCCGGTTGTATTATATCGGACACTCACAGGGTACCACGACAATGTTCGCTCAACTCAGTCAGGACCCCGAGTTTGCCAAGAAAATCAAATTGTTCGTCGCCCTTGCACCGATTGGCAAGTTAGGGCACATCAAAGGAATGTTGAAGCTGGTCGCTGACCTTACACAGAACAGCGACGTAAGATAGTTAATATAAAAAAGTCATCTTCAATATACAAGAAATAGACTTGTCCTTGGTAAATGTTAATTAATTTTTAAGACATCTTTTAAATGTTTGTATATCATAGACTTTGTGTAGTGTACCTAAGCGTTTCACGATATATTTACGCTCCATCACGACGGTATTGGGTTAACTTGAGCTCATTTTCAATTCTCGGCAATGTCTGTAGTGTTACGAATATCTATGATTTATATCGATAGTCGCCTTATTGTTATATATGTTTACATTGCAAGCAATAGATCTTTGATCTTTCTGTCGTCACCTCTGTTCCTGTTAGCCTTTGATATATATTATTTTCGATGAGCCATCCGTGTTAACACTATACTGAGATTTGATACTGCTTTGTCTAGTTATATGCTGTATACCGTTTCCAGCTTATTTGACCATTTTGTATGTATCGTTTCCAGCTCGCCCGACTTTTCGGCTACTACTAGCGCATGTGTAGCGCATTTCCGATATCATATCACATGTAAGAACTAAATTTCGAGACGGCCAACTTGTCGACTGGATAATTTTTATTTATTACGGCATGAGTTGTTGTTCCTGGTAAATTAATGTAGTTTAGTGTTATTGACAGGATGTCCACAAGCTGTTCGGCCGGAAATCTTTCATGATGAACTCATCTATATCTACATTTCTGGCGGCCAAGGTGTGCGATGAACAGCCAATCACGTTCGTTTGTTCAGTTGCCACCAGTATTACAGGGTTTGATCTTCAGCAGACTAACTGGGTACGTGACCGATTTGGTAATTTTCTCTATACGATCATGTCCACGAACTAAACACCCCAGTAACGATCTTGTACACAAACTATACACCCCAGTAACGATATTGTACACAAACTATACACCCCAGTAACGATATTGTACACAAACTATACACCACAGTAACGATATTGTACACAAACTATACACCCCAGTAACGATATTGTACACAAACTATACACCACAGTAACGATATTATACACAAACCTAACACCCCAGTAACGATATTGTACACAAACTATACACCACAGTAACGATATTGTACACAAACTATACACCCCAGTAACGATATTGTACACAAACTATACACCCCAGTAACGATCTTGTACAAGAACTATACACCCCAGTAACGATATTGTACACAAACTATACACCCCAGTAACGATATTGTACACGAAGTAAACACCCCAGTAACGATCTTGTACAAGAACTATACACCCCAGTAACGATATTGTACACGAAGTAAACACCCCAGTAACGATATTGTACACGAAGTAAACACCCCAGTAACGATACTGTACACGAAGTAAACACCCCAGTAACGATATTGTACACGAAGTAAACACCCCAGTAACGATATTGTACACAAACTTCACACCCCAGTAACGATCTTGTACAAGAACTATACACCCCAGTAACGATATTAGACACAAACTTCACACCCCAGTAACGATATTGTACACGAAGTAAACACCCCAGTAACGATATTGTACACGAAGTAAACACCCCAGTAACGATATTGTACACGAAGTAAACACCCCAGTAACGATATTGTACACGAAGTAAACACCCCAGTAACGATATTGTACACGAAGTAAACACCCCAGTAACGATATTGTACACAAACTTCACACCCCAGTAACGATCTTGTACAAGAACTATACACCCCAGTAACGATATTAGACACAAACTTCACACCCCAGTAACGATATTGTACACGAAGTAAACACCCCAGTAACGATATTGTACACAAACTTCACACCCCAGTAACGATCTTGTACAAGAACTATACACCACAGTAACGATATTAGACACAAACTTCACACTCCAGTAACGATATTGTACACGAAGTAAACACCCCAGTAACGATATTGTACACGAACATCATTAATGATGATATTCTATGAAATACTTAATTTTTATACAGAATATTATATTGTTTTGACCTTGTTGGAAACAAAAGCAGAAATTTGGCCTGTGGTGATTGGTGAGTGACCAGCTTACCAAGTCAGGATAATAAAACATCTTTATTGCTGTAAATCGAAGCAAACAAACGAGTTTATAACAATAACGATAAGATTTTTAGATAGTAAGCAAGACCATTTCCCTACAAATAGTCGAGAGGGAATTTAATTGAATTGAAACAAGTCCATACAACATATGATCATATTTACGAACAATTCTACATGACATACATGTTTTATTGTATCAGACGAGAGTGCCAATATATATCGCCCATTCCGCCGAAGGTACCTCTGTCCAGAACATGAATCACTACATTCAGGTGGGTGTCTGTGTGGTAATCGCCGTTATCACACTTTGGAGTAACGCATGCGTATGTAATAATGGTATTTTCATGGCATGTTATTTCAATAGCCATCCGTTGAACAGAAAAGGTTTGTGACTACAACAACACAAAGATATTTCATGTTTAAAGATCTTGTCCGAAACACAATTCAAACTACATTTAGAACAGTTTTCAACAAACATTGAATAACAAATAAAGCGAACTCTTTAATACATCAGTTGTTAGCATCATGGTATTGACTATAAAAAGAAAACTAGTTTTATGATAGTCTTGTATACATTGAAAATCTATATAAGAATCTGTAAGAGCACTTCCTCGGAGAAGGATACGAGCTGAATGAGAGTAGACTTTATGTGTGGATTTTCATTCCCAGGAGGTTAAAACAGATCTTTATCAGAAATACGACTATGGATCACCGGCGCTGAATATGGCGAAATACAATCAGGTGAGGCCCAGATCGATGAGAATTTCCCCGTCTATCATTTTTTATATATTCTGACTTGAAGCTACAACAATGTATCTTAACGTCTTGAATATTCCATGTTTTCCTTCAGTTCACTGTGATCACTAACGCTAGTATTAACTGTGGGTTGTCTAGAAGATAGAATCAATACTTACGAGGATAATTTACAAGTACATTTGTTTCCGTCTTTTTTCCGTTTTCACTTATCCCTAATATATTTGTGTGTACATTACCTTTTATCGACAGTATAGACAATCACGTGTTTGTACTTTATACACATTAGCCATGTCGTGATAGTAATGGTATACTAATCTCATATGGCGACGGCATTTATTGGACAGATTGACAATTACACACATCCACAGGAAACACAATCACAACTGTTAAGTCTGAATACCGGATTAAAATACCAGGAAAAAAAGTTACATTATAACCGAAGAATTTGAAAAAAACTTTATTTTAGTTACACATTAATTAACGGTAAAATATAATTTCATTTATGTACTGTAATTTTATTCGAGCATTTAATATTTACCTTTTATTTAATCATGTTTCCTGTCCTTAAAGTTGTATGATATATGTATTTTTTTAGTAATAAATATGGATTTTTAACAACAATTTTGTTGGTTTTTTTTCCCAGACAACACCGCCACGATATGCGATCCAAAACATTAAGACGCCAGTCGCTTTTTTTAATGGGAACAAGGATTGGCTGTCGAATCCAACTGACGTCACTTTTCTCCTTAGTAACTTGCCAAACATTGTAAAGAAGAAAACATTCCCTCACTATGACCACGTGGATTTCATACTGGCTGAGGATGCGCCGAAAATATTATATCCTGAAGTACTAGAACTGATCAAAGATACTCATGGAATGAAATAATGTAACTGCTTTCTGTTGTTAAAATGGATCATTCGTTTGTTGTCGTGATGAATTACATCAGCTGTGTTTGTTTTATTTACAAGTTGTTCCCAAACACGAAAACAAACCTGACGATGATAACGGAAATAGTTATGCAATTTCCATTAATGATATAACAATGAAGAAATGAACGGGATCCAGTGTGTATTTAAAGACTGGGCGTTATAGTCCACGGAGCCGTGATGTACGAAAAACTGGGTAAGATCCAGAGTAAGAAAAGTCAATCAGACCCTATCATTGAAGGAACAATAAATAAATAAATAAATAAAACAATGAAATACAGCAACTGCTATAACCACGAGTACAGAAAGCATTCAACAACAACAGTAGCACGCAAGAAAAGACATGTCGAAATAAGTACGATTGGACTGGTAACCTTGTTCAAAATTAAAGTGATCCATCATGAGAATTCTAAATATGTAGCCTTATGACAAATTCTAGTAAGGATGTTTGAGCATCCAGTAACTATACATCCTTTGTTGTATAACTGAGGTACTGTCAGATTGATCAGATTGGTCGGTCGTTTATCCAGATATCATGCTTCGGCTTCAGTAAGTCCTTATGTGAGAGAACTGTTAGCAATCAAACCTAGTACTTTAAAAAAATATACCATATGTTCATGGATATCCTTAATCATCATGTTTAGATACAAAGAGTGTTGTATCATTCGCCCGAACAACATGCGGAAGGCACGTCGCATGCCATCGAAAACAACTGTGATAAAATGTTTTCCCCATCACCGCGACAACACCGACTGGTCCGTTATTCTCTTTCTTCAGAAATAGCCACAGGTTGGAAACGCCATAATAAGTATGATCCGTTGAACTCGTACTTAAAGGAGTAAAACTTCCGAATTTATTTGGCTTAAATTCCCTCGAATAGAAACAAGGCTAGCATTACAATCTATGAGAACGGACCATGTGTTGTAGATAACGTGTTCTACCTTACAATAACATAGACATATCCTGAAATCATTGGCCAAATCTGGCGACAACAACCTTCTCCAACAGTCAGCCGTAATCATGGCGTTGTGGCTAGTAGTCCTGTTTGCTATGGCAACGCATGTCCAGAGTACGTCCATTCAACGTGTACATGGAGTCGGACAAGATCCGGAAGTGTACATGAACGTTGTGAGTACAGTTGAAACTCGTCTCGAAATCGCTTGAGTCGAAATAATTTCTCGATTTTTTTCTCTTCTATACCTTTGTAATATTAGTTAGGATGACGCGGATTTCATCGAGTTGAAATTTTGTTTGAGTTGAAGTGATTTTTCAGTCCCAACAATTGTAAAGCAAGGGAAAAGTCGTTCGTTGTCTCGAAATTTTTGTCCATACATCGGCCCTTCTAACGAATTCGGTTGATATACAGAATAGAATGTCACTTGTGCGTAACGCATAGCTTATAGTCCATCGTACACACCACACCTGGTCTCTGACGATTAATAACCAGTTTAATTTTCCAATTAAAAATTGGATTCTTAATTGCAATTTCAATTCCTTTATTCCAAATGCGAACAGCATATAGGATTACAAAATGATCATATATAGATATTACATTTCATTACAGCAAGATGGCTGAGGTCATTACAACGTCATCAACTTACATGTACCAATGAAGATATACATGATTGTCAGTAGCATTGAGCTAGAAAATATACCATTTGATTAAATATTAAGAAGAGACTTTCTTTTAGAAGTAATTTGAATCAAATATTTACTAAGATTTCTCCAACACTTCACACTTTTGCAGGACAACAATTGTTTAAATTTGAAGACAGACGGACGATAGGGTTTAATATATCTGATTCTGCGCTCCGAGTAAACTGGACATAATAATATGAAATGAGTTTCATCCTGGATGTCATTACTATTACAAAGAAGGCAATACCTTTAGGCTCTGGAAAACACTGTCACATCTGACAGTTTCAATACTTAATGTTTGGGAATGTAACCGATACTGAGGATATGTTTATACTTATAAGTGAGAGATTTGGTAAAACTGTATATCGTTATGATCAACAATGTATCTTTACAAACGACATTTGGAAGAATTGTTTCTCACCTCTTGAACAAAATAATCGTTCACACGTTGGGTTGTATAAGAACACAAACTGTTCTTCACTAAATATGAATGTGTTTAACCAAACACCATAAAAAAACCTGTTCTGTCTAATTCTGGTTTCACTTGGTAAACAAAATTAGTTTTACAATTAGCTTTATTCGAATTTAATTTGACAAGTTCCTCATAACAAGATCTCAAAATACAATTATTAGTACTTAGTAACGATAACAAGTACATTATAATTGATAATTTACGTTTTATTTGTAAAAGAAATCGTACTAATTCGAAGTAAACCATAGAATTATTTACAGAAATTTTAACTCCAAGAACTTCCTTCAAAATATGCAAATGCACTTTTTCGATTCGGGTTGCAGGACTAGGCACACACATTTTACAATCACAGTTAAGCACACAAGTACTATAAGTGTGGAATAATGACAATTTTGGTTTCACAGTTTAATATAAAATTTCTTAATTTTCTATTCAATAAAAAACAAGCCTTTCTGGCATTGGCCACAATGTTATCTATCGCTAAGGTAAAAAGGCCATTATAGTTTAACACTCGACCAAGATAGCAAAAGTTGTCAACTGTTTCAATAGGCCTACCATTAAATATGTTCATTGCTCCTCAGGAAAAACACGTTTATTTTTCCTAAATATTATTACTTTAATCCTCATTTACATCTAAATTCCAACGTTCAGCGTACAAAAACACGTTTATTTTTCCTAAATATTATTACTTTAATCCTCATTTACATCTAAATTCCAACGTTCAGCGTACAAAAACAAGTGATCAGGCTTATTCTGCAGATAGATTACGTCTTCATAAAACAAGACCGTGTCGTCCGCATACAAAATTATCAAAAGGTTTAGCAACTGTAATTGGTTACTCTGACAATTAGAATTGATAAGTTCGGATTCCATATCATTTATAAACAATGAAAATAGAGCCCCTTGTAATAATATGATTCGGGGGTCGTACATGGGAGATTTAACATTATCATATATAGATAAAATTACATTTAGCAATCGACCTTTAATACCTGACGTCCATAGTTTGAACCATAATCTATCATGCGATATGCTGTCGAAAGCCTTTTGGTGATTTACGAAAACACAATACAGTTGTTTATTACTTCTTTGTAAAATATTAGTAATTAAGGTATGGAGAACAAAAACTGCATCCCGTGTAACACTTCCGGGTGGGAAACCAAATTGAGCGTCATATATAACGTTTTCTTTTTCGCTCCATGACAATAAACGTCTATTGAGGAGAGACGTGAAAAGCTTAACTAAGTGACTAATGATGATAATACCTCTACAATTGTTATCATTGTCTCCTCTTTTATGTGTGAGTACCACAACACCTTGAGCCCAGCACCTGAGGAAATATGCAACACGCAAAATAGTGTTAAATAGTTTAAACAATAGAGGAACTAAATGTTCCCTATACTCAATGAAGTACTCGTTTAACAACATAAATATACCGGCTAACTTCCCCTTGGATAGACCTTTTATATGGGTACTGAACTCATCGTCCAGTTCAGGATAAAGACATTCATTATTATTTACAAACTCCTCGGAGCAAAATGGTGTATCAGCTGGAGTATCAGTCAAGTCTTTAAAACAATTGAAAAAAATCATCAAGTGGTAAGTCACTCATATTTACAGGTTTACTCTCAGAAAAATTGCAAGGATTTTGTTATTTGTGTCCATTATATTACCCTCCATTTGGAGATATGAACGCTTTTTGACGGAATCTGATCCCTTTGTATAAACGCTTATATTCTACGTTGAATCAAGGTTTGTGAAGGGTTTTAAACACGACGACGCAATTCATGACAAGAGCACTTGCAGCCTGGAACTACCTTTTTCCTACAGCAAAACTGGCCAAACAAGGAATGAACGTTGTTAAACAGAACTTCAAGGCAATGATCACTAGAATCGCAAAGTTCATTTACAGAACATTGAACAGATAGCAGTTACGTACTCAGAAGACATCTCCTTGGTATCTCTACACCAAGAAGCAGTAGTTATTATATTAGTTTTGTTATCAATATTATCACATCTACATTTTTCGACCTAAATTTTAAAATGAAGAAACATTGAGACATGGTCATAAGACTTAACGAAGGCTCGAATCACTGCGGAACTACTGTAATCAATTACACCAGTTTGGTGTCACCATCCTGTAGCAGTGACTTACCTGTAGTTAAACAGCTATCGCGTTTACACGAGACAAGAAAACGTTAGCTTGGTTGCGTACAGATTCAGGACCGATAAAAACGAAACCGTCAAACCAGTGCGAACTTTTCGACGAAATTCCGAGAGAAACTAATTTTTGAGCTTGTTTACCAAATACCTGTGATCGAGCACTTTGCTAGATGAAGTGTTTGTACAACGAATTGCTGGAAGTATTTTTCATTGATAGAATCTATGTCTGTCCATGATTTGTTAAGTCTAGTTCTTGTATAATGTTTTCTGTAACAGGTAAAAACTTTCTACCGCGTCTATCATATGTTTAATTGTTCATAATAAAGTACAATGTATGATATATATGATATTAAGCTTTCATGCATTGTTTCTTGTATGGTATCAAAAGCAGATTTAATTTTCGTTTTATTGTCATTAAGTAAAATAAATTATCTATATGTGCTTGGTCAGTACGGGTAGCGCACACGTGCGAGGGACGGAACGAAGTGAGTACGGTTGTATTTGATTGGAGTTGTTATTACATGTTTTGATGTTTAGATGAATAACAATTGAATATTGACTACGATTCCAAATATCAGATAAAATTACGTTGTTTGTATCACGGTACATCGTGCTGTCGTAGCCCTACTTTGTTCAACCGTAATCAACGTCAGAAACAGTTTGTCACATAAAAATTGTTTATACAAGTTTTAATCAAGTTAGAGCTGCTGGAAAGAGTCGTTGATTTTCTTACATATAAAACTATTGCCAACTACTGTTTTCTTAATGTTGCCTCTACTTGTAGACCCAGTTGATTACCAGTAAAGGTTATCCATGCGAGGAACACGAAGTAACTACTGATGACGGATTCATTCTCGGCCTCCAGAGAATTCCTCATGGAAGACTAGAATCACAGAAAGGTTCTTCTAGATTACATTGATCCCATCCGACCTAAACTAGACGCAATGCTTTTGTACATGACTTCTTTATTTGTTATAGGGAGGATACAGTACTACAGTACACGGAAGGTTCAGACATCAGGACACTCGACTGCATTCATAGACTATAAAAGAGCGGTATACGAGGGAAATAGCAAGCCCCACATGTCTTAAGTAGGACCTTTTTACTGTACAAGTGTAAAGACGTATCTGAATGCCGACACTTACCGGGTAGACTCACGTGCCTTAGTCACAGTATGAAAATCAGAATGCCGACGCTTACCGGGTAGACTCACGTGCATTTATCATTGTATGGACATCAGATTACCGATTTTTACCGGGTAGACTCTCGTGCCTTTTTTATTGCATGAACAACATAATACCGACACTTACCGGGTAGACTCTCGTGCCTTTGTCACTGTATGGACAACATAATACCGACACTTACTGGGTAGACTCACGTGCCTTTGTCATTGTAAGGACAACATAATACCGACACTTACCGGGTAGACTCACGTGCCTTTGTCATTGTATGGACATCAGAATGCCGACACTTACCGGGTAGACTCACGTGCATTTATCATTGTATGGACATCAGAATACCGACACTTACCGGGTAAACTCTCGTGCCTTTGTCATTGTATGGACATCAGAATACCGACACTTACCGGGTAGTCTCTCGTGCTGTATCAGAATATCGATACTTTACTTGACTTACTTTAAATATATGTACCGTCAACTATTGGTGGGATTACTGATCTCAGATAATCGGTAACTGGTATATTTCTATGTATTAGAGGTTCTGTTAACCATCAAAATCCACAGCTACTTGTTGGAACGCTACGAACAATATAAACCATGTAAAAACAACAATCTATTTTCGTACATGATTCGAATACTGTCTGGTTAAAAATAAAGCTGTAAAAGAGAAATTTGGGATATTTTTTTTGTTTTGGACAAAATATTTTTTATCTCGATAATTGATCGATGTTCTCTTTTGATATTAAATTACCAAATTGTACTTTTAATATGATGGACCGCCTCTTTGTTGAATGAAATGCTCAACTGTATAATTATACAGCCTAACATATGCACAGTGATTCCTTCTTCCACAAACAACATGGATGATTCCTCCTTCCGTGGTATCTTCTCCCCTTATGATGACGGGTTTGTCGTGTTTTAAGACTCCATTTGGCCCCATTGCTCTTTTACATTGGCCCAATTGGTTTTCATAATGGTTCCATATTTTATTCATTGGCCCAAATGCTCCTTACAGTAGTCCCATCTCTAGGTACACTGGCCCGTCTTCTTTTACCATGATTTTCTATGGGACCGGTCCAATGGCTTTTTGAATTTGTCTAATGCTTTTTTTACCTTGATTTGGTTCTATTGCTATATTTTATTGCGTTGTTTTTGACATTGGTTTAATTGCATTTTTTAATCCGTCGTTTTGCTGTCGACTGTTATTTCCTCTTTCCTTCGTTGGAAGGAGTTCTACAAACATGTGTTCATCCGATTGTTCATTCGTCGTAGGGCGTATAATACCGTTCAAGATATTTTCCCCAAAATTCTACACACATCAATAAAGTATCTTTTGCCATGAAGCAGTTTAACAGTATTTCAGATTACCATAGCAACAAATAGTCAAAATCACTGATTTCAGCGTTTCTGAAGAATATAGGAAACTTCGAATACCCTTCCATCGAATTGCATCGTAGTACCATTTCTCAGTTTTGATATTTCTTTGGTTACCATGGAAGTAGTCCATTTCACTGATTCCATTGTTTCCAAAACATACAAGACTTTTAATCACCACTTCCGTTATATCCTTTATATTGGTTGTTACCTCTAAACATCCTAGTAGATAAATTCAGCGAGATGTTATGTCAGTGGCAGGGCTCCCTTGGCTCGGGATTTGACCGAATATATCCATTTTGATGATTATGTCAGTGGCAGGGCTCCCCTGGCTCGGGATTTGACCGAATATATTCATTTTGATGATTATATCTCTCAGTTTCTCAATAAACTAAATAGATATTTCATTCTGGTTTCAATATATATTTCACAAAGGAAAGGCTGTAGTCATTTTTACATTCAGCCTTTTTTTTTGTGAATTGTAGCCGACATATAGCTGTTTCCCACTATTTTATCAAAGAATATCCGAGACGTCAGGGTGTCACCTATTACGAACATTTATGATGGTGTACTAAATGGGCCTAATGATATTATTGTGTGAATACCGTCCCAGATAAAAATGCATCAATACACGATTTTACTTTTCATTTCGTTTTACTTCTTGGATACAAACATGTATGTTCCTTAGTGTACTACCCGGTGGAAGACCAGCCAGTTGTACTGCTACAGCATGGTCTCTTGTCCTGCTCAAGCTGCTGGCTGGATAACCTTGTTAATGAAAGTCTGGGATACCTGATGGCAGACAATGGTATCGACGTTTGGCTGGGCAACAATCGTGGAAACATATATTCACGGAAACACAAAACACTTAGCCCTGACGACCCGAAATTCTGGGAATGGAGGTTTGTGTAAGAAACTCTGTAGTACATGACAGAGAATTTCAATGAAAAACACTTGATACTCTTTTCACAATGATAAAAAAAAAAAATAAAATGAAAAAAAAAAAAAAAACAAAAACAATACCAAACCAAACAAAAAGAAAAGAAAAAATATAGAAAACTAAACAATAGCTGCAGGTAATACAATTGTTGTCAAATCATCAGCTGTATCTAATATTGTATAGTTAATTCTTGGTAGTCCTATTGCATCTGTTTTTTAATTAATGAAATTGTTGTTAGAATAACAATTTCGCAGTAATATGAAAAAAAATATTTGAAATGATGAATTTAGATGAATTTAGAATCTACTGAAAACGTACGTATTTTAGCGGTAATAATATTTAGCACTATTTCGCGCTGAGAGTTTTGTATGACTGGCCACAACGTAAGGGATGTAGGAACATCTCTAATGCATTTCTAACCGGCTCCTAAAAAGCAACTAAATGTGTCCTGAAATGGAACTTAAACGTTGTTTCGGGATATTATCAAATTGTGTTGAAAATTAACAAAATTGGATATGAAATAAAAGACAAGAAAAAGAGTCCAGGATACTGTACTGACCTTATGTTTAAATATACAGTGTTGCGTTTGTTGTAGTTGGGACGAGATGGCTCTATATGATATGCCAGCAATGATAGACTATATCTTGAACGTGACGAATAGGAAGCAGCTCTATTATCTGGGATATTCACAAGGTACACAAATCGCATTCTCAGGGCTTAGTCAACCTTGGAACACGGACAAAGTGAAGATGTTTTTTGCCTTTGCTCCAGTCACAAACCTTGGCGGCGTCATTAGTCCGATCCGACTGCTTGCCCCATTTGTCAAACCATTACAGGTATATGGAACTGTTATTATTTTAATAAATTATCAAAAACTGGTGATGTTTACATGTTTTCTTTCCAGTTGGTAGCGGAGTCAGCACCTTAGTTTAAAATATATTTCGACGTATGATTATTTCAGACGTTTTTTGAGTTATTCGGGACAGGTGAGTTTCTCCCGAGCACCGATATGGTTAAGTGGCTTGGAAGGGAGGTATGCAGTAAACCAGGATTGGACTTCGTTTGTGAAAATTTCCTCTTTGTCCTCGGCGGGTATGACTTCAAACAGTTCAACAAAGTACGTATATTTTTTATAACGTTTTTTTTTCTAAGTTCATTATGACGTTTCACGAAACGTACAATGGTTGCCCATTAATACATAAAACAAATGTACAAAACACCCTTCCTTATTCGCTATCGCAAATGATTTATCTAGATTCGATATCTCACTCAACTTCGGTTATGGTTCCCGTTCATCAGGCACCATTGTGATGGAATCTGCAATGTTTTTGTTACAGTCACGAATCCCCGTTTATGTTGCCAACCATCCGGCCGGTACCTCGGTACAGAATATAGCCCACTACGCACAGGTTTGTAACACTTAACAATCAAAGTTGTATTGTCCTCAAAAAAAAAAAAAAAAAAACCAAAAAACGAGGAAGTGCCATGAATGACTATTCCCAAAACTGTTTTGCAATCCTAACGGGCCAATTGTCCACATTTAACCCAGGGTCATAGTATTGTATTTGCCTTCATCTGCATGTTAAACCAACAACGATGTTGTTGTACAACATTTACCATCGTAAGATTTATCCTATATTATTCATATTATCAACAGTTACCATCGTAAGATTTATCCTATATTAATCATATTGTATCATTTGTTAACTGGGTTTGTTGCCCTGTAAGCAACCAAAGTATGTTGAGGCGGGGTTACGACCGATTATTTCTTACCTTTAACAACATAAAAACAACAGAAGCATACTAAATAAGAACATATACATTACCAAGTTACAGTGTTCTCTATTATAGTCCATCCTTCACAAGGATTTCTTGATGTACGATTTTGGTTCAGAAGCTGCCAACCTCGACCGTTACAACCAGGTAACACTTTTCAGTAATGTTGAAATTATGACTTTAGATACTTAATCTGTCAATTATTTGTTAATTATAACCGGTAACACTTATCTATTATGTATTACAACTGTATGCCTTCAGCTAAGGGTAGCCATTTGACCATCATAATCGTTTAGATTTTTAGTTGGTGGTAGTCATTTGACTCTTATCATCGTTTACATTTTTAGTTGGAGGTAGCCATTTGACTATTACAATAGTTCAGACTTGTCTATTATATATTACTTTATTTCTTTAGTATTAGAGGTAGCCATTTAACTATTATCAGATCTGTAATATATTATACTTTATTTTTAGATTGGAGGTAGCCAATTTGACACTTACTACAGCTTCTAGACAATCCGTAACATGCTGTAAAATCGTTTACATTTTTGACATTTGACTATTACAATAGTTCAGACTTGTCTATTATATATTACTTTATTTCTTTAGTATTAGAGGTAGCCATTTAACTATTACAAGGTCAGACTTGTCTGTAATATATTATACTGCTTTACTTTTACTTTACTAGATTACCAAATTTGCAACTTGACACTTACTACAGCTAGGGTAGACAATCCGATGCTGTAAAAATGACTTGTGATCTCGGATATTGTCAAACTTTGCTATAACAGAGAAGACTTGCTGAAAATATAGACTTTCGGTAGAAATATATCAGATCTGGCAACTCAAAAAGAACAACAAAGAAAAACACCGATATGTTCATAGAAACTTGACTCAAATATATATCTTGTAAATATGTTTACTCGGTGGCGTGCTTCTAAGAAAGTTCTGTGCTCAAAGCGACATTTTATTAAATATCAAGTCAATATTAAGACAAAATATCAACCAAAGAAAGATATACAAGAAGGCTACTAATAAATAAAAAGAATGAGATCAGATATTGTGGAACAGAAAGCATCAGCTTCATCGACGACACCCGAAAACAGGGTATACAACAAGCAAACTAACGAGCATCAAACACATCATCTTCATTAAGCACAAAGACATTTAGAGTATTTGTTATTGAGATAACAAGGATGACCGGAAAACTTTCGTTTCAGTTTAACTCAGCTTTGATTTTCATCAACCTGCATTTCTCGAAATACCTGTGTTGTGAATTTGTCTGTCAGTTGTCGACATCTTGCACGAAAATCGTGATGTTTGGAATGTCAAATCAACTGCGACTTGTAAATATCACAGGTTGGGGATGCAGGGATGTTGCCATACATAAATGGAATACTTACCATAGAGAGATTGAAATCATCACACTGATCATACAGCTTGGTGGAAACCTGTCCATGCTGGTTTCATTGAAGGAAAAATCGAGTTAATCGACCGATGTAGAAGACTCTGTCGTGTATATACAATGTTAGTGGACGTTGTCATTAAATCTATTGGTATTTAAAGGCAATGCAGATAGATAATGTTACAAAACTTGGAATGGAAGTCCAAAAATAACCCCTTTCGTGAATGACAAATACATTTATACCATCTGTCGAATATATCTGGAATCGGTCATCTTTAAATTTGTGTAGTAACGTGTTGCTTCTACAAAGCAACTCAAAATCAAGGCATAGTGTAATTCCCGAACATTGTGGTGAATCTAAATGATATCCGATGAAGTCATGAATTTGGTGGTTTTTGCGGTCAGATTTCGCCGACGTGGTCATATTGTACATATCTTGTAAAAATATGTTTACTCCGTGGCGTGCTTCTAAGAAAGTTCTGTGCTCAAAGAGCATGGGCTGTCGGTGATGTAGACATTATGTAACACTTCTGGCAATGATTATAATTAGAATTCTCGCCTCTGTTTTATTTTGGTTTTTTTTAATTTGACGCAGTTTGGTGTTTTTACACAACGTTCTCTTGAACTTTCAGATATGAATTGAACAAGTTACAGACACGCACGAATAAAAATAGGTGAATTCAGGGATCGATTGATTGTTTGAAATGTACTTATGACCTATAGTGGATTTGACATTACGCGTTTCAATTCAATTATCGGTCCATTATATTATTGGTATAAGTATCAAAGTTTGGTGATTTTGCAGATGTTAAACGTGGCCATTCACGTCTTAATTTTGACCAATGGCTACCTTCCTATAATAAGGTATAGAACCGTATGCTAAGATACTATCTGTATCTATGAACCGGAACTGACGTTGACTGTGAATGAGACGTGACGTGACACAGGGAACAACATCCTCATCCTCTCTCCCTAAGATGGAACGGTCATATAAATATTACAGATTTATTAGCACTTACATAAATGACGAACGTATGAAATACTTCCCATACATTTTCCCTATTGGTTTAGACGACCCCGCCAGCCTGGAACGCATCCCTGGTAAAGACTCCGACTGTAGTGTACTCGGGCTCTATGGATTGGTTGGCTGATCCTGATGACGTAAGAGCCCTTCTACCCAAGATTACAAATCTTGTAGCGTCCAAGGTCATGGATGAGTGGCAACACCTAGATTTTATATGGGCCATGGACGCGCCGCAGCAAGTCTACAGAGATGTCATAAGACGCATTCACCAACAGGAAGCAGTCGACCACAACTCAACGTAGACATTGTTATTTCGCCTACATTCCCAATAAATTTCATAGACTTTAGTTATGATCTGTTTTTTATTTAATTACTGTTCAACATAAGAATAATGAACACTAATAAAATGATAAATGAAAAATATCACTTTCACAGTAACATCTCTGTAGAAATTTTCAGATATACAAATGGTGATTTTGTCTTGCCATGTTTAAATGAGAATGAGTTTGTAGTGACCTCAGCGAAAAATCCAACAATGCAAAATAAAGCAATGACACTCGGGAGGACAATACATCTATCGTCTTATATGCCAACACCCCTCCAAAAAAAAGACATGAATGTCACGAGAAAACGCTCAGTCGACTTCAGGCCCCACTTGTATAAAACATCTCAACTTGAGATTTCCTCAAGTCGAGATTTTCCTCTGCTGAGATCTCCTCAAAAACGGCTTGTATAAATTTTCTCAAGGAACAGGAGGAAGTCCTCGGCTAGGATGTCCTGAAATTCCTTGAGGAATTTTCATACAAGATATTTTCATGGAGAAATTAGCTAAGAAAAATCTGGGCTTGAGGAAATCTCAAGTTGAGATGTTTTATACAAGTGGGGCCTGGTTACTCTGCCGTGATATTGTTAAGGAACTACTACAAACCAAGAAGTATAATTTTATTGTGGCTTAATGCAGAAGCTGACGTTCGTCAGACTATTATAGGTAAAATTCCTCATACATGTACCTTTATACTTTGTGAATTAACAAAGAGTAGAATCCCCCGGGCAATAACTGAACATGAAAGGTTAAAGTGTAAGTTGTTGGAATTTATCTCCGAACTTACTTTTTGGCGCTGATTGAGGTGCATTAGCTTCAGGAACATTTGGATTCAGTGTCCGTGCAATACCTCACACTAATTATAGGCGTAGTTTAAGCCCCGAAACACTGCCAGAATTTTTTTTAAACAGGAACATAATGGACATATTATACTGTGCACAGTGTATCCAACCTCAATTTGACCGCCCCGCACCCCCCCCCCCCTCCCCATCATCCGTGCTTTAGTTCCCTTTAGCTCCCATCAGAGTGATATATGTCTATAACGGTGAGTGTGATGTCCAGAAAATGCTGTAATGTACAGCACATTTTGTTAAATAGAAACTTTTCACCCTTCTTGGTTTGAAGTATCTCCCGAGAGGTTTTATTTTATAACCCTTTCGGACGCCCTGGGTAAGGAATATTCAACTTTGAAGACGAAAAGTAAACAATGCTTTAAACTAACATATTCCTTTAAAAGCATATCCTTCTAGCGTTGTCTGACAAAAACCAAACAAACTTTAGACATCAAAATTCTGTCAGACATTTTGTTTTTTCAAATCAATCTCAAAATTGGATGGCATTAGGTATCTCGAGACATCCTTTACATAAACTTGGAAAATTATTACTGATCAGATACATTACTAGAAATAACCCAGGTCCAAAAAGCGATATCGAGAAATCAGAATCAAAGTTGACTGATCATGGCATCTGTCAGCCATTTTTTTTTCAAATTAATCCCAAAATTTAATGGCATTCGGTATCATGGGACACCCTTCATCTAAACTTTTGATTGATTAATTATTGATTATTAAATACACCTCGAGAAATAACCCAGATCCAAAAAGCAATAACACAAAACTCAAAATCCAAGATAATTGACTGTAGAATCTGTCAGCCAATTCGATTTTTTCTCAAATCAATCTCAACATTTTTGAAATGTCGTACCACGAGACACCCTTCATAAATACATTTCAACAGTAGATATCCAGTTTGGTCGCTTATCATCCAGATTTTATCATAATGGTTTTAGACTTGGGAGTGCACAAACCTACAAATCGGAGAACAATCCATCGAGTACATTTCAGCCATTGTGCTTTTCCAATCAATTTCAAAATTTACTTAAAAAACGACGAAGTTGCAAATGTGATCTTTGACCCTTACATAATAAGCGTCTTACCCTCTATGACGAAATTTCAAGATTAGTCCACAAATTACGAAGATCAACATCTAAAATTTGTCACTGAACGTTGAATAGTGCTCAAAATATGGCATGCTCAACTGGAATCTGTACTTAGCATTGGTGTGCTGAAAGGAATTTCAAGAGAACCTCTTATGTGGCTCTTCTGAGTAGCGATACAAGAGATCTAAGAGGGATCCTAGCGCCCACCATTTCCTTGTTCTTTAAAAGCTGAATCTTTCACCGCAAAATCCAAGATGGTTGACTGTCAGCCATTTTGTTTTTTTCTGATCAGTCCTTAAATCAAATGTGTACAAGGAACCAAGGGGAACCTCAATATGAAATTTGAGATATCCATCTAGAACTTCTCTAGAAATAGCAATACCAACAAACGGCCCACTGGGCCTGTATTACTCAACTGGTTGTTTGGATATTGCTTCATCTTAACTTTAGGAAAAGGTATTCTAAATTACTAAGCACACAGCACATTTTATATCTATTTTCTCTATTTGGCCCATCTGGTCCTTAAGGGGTCAACCATACAATTCATGTCTCATACCAAATTAGGACAAAATAAATCCGGTCATTCCTATAGAAGAATTTAAAATTATTTGCCTCTATTTCTCTCCCATTCAAAGAGGCCTAGACCCACCATTTATACCGAACTGATTTCAATTTACTCAAGGATGTGTTGTATCGGATTTAGGCAAAATTTATTCATTCCTTCAGAAAGAGTATAATTTTAAAGAATTTATTTCCTTTGTTGGGCCCCATCCCTTTCACCCAAAAGGGCTGAGACCAACTGTTTATACAAAATGATTCCACTTCCTTCAATGCTTTGTATCAAAGTTTGACAATTAACAATCTTCCCTGCAGGAAAAAGATTTTAAAGAATATGCTGAACTTCCTCTATTTATACAAATTTGATTCCTCTTCACTGAAGAATGCTTTTAGACGAAATCTAGACAAAATAAATGATTCCTGTAGGATTTTAAGGTGTTTCTCCTATTGGGCCCCACCCCTCCTAACCCAGGAGGCCGAGAATCACCATTTAAACACTAAACACTTCACCAAAGAATACTGTAGACAAAGTTTGGGCAAAATCCAATCGATCCTACAGGAGGAAAAGGATTTAAAAGAATTTTCTCCATTTCCCCTAATTGATCTCATCCCTAATACCCCACTGGGTTGAGATCCATCATTTACAAACAAGAGATCCCAGAGGGATCTCAGCGCCCACCATTTGAGGATCTGTTTTCAGTTCTTGAAGATTTGTTTTTTTTTTTTTTTTGTTTGTTACAGGTGTTGTAAATGTTCATGAACTGGTCTTCATTGAATGTACACAATGATGGCACAAGATATTTGCCATTATTAAGCACCTATTAGCAAAAATCATTTGAAAAAGATCCCAAAGTATTATTAGATAGCAGTCAGTTACAGGTGGATAATGGACAATATGCTTGTGCTGTATTACTGTCGACATCCAAGATGGCTGCCTGGGGGCCACCTTGATTTCAAATCAGTCCAAAAAAGGTACAATGCACAACTAGGGACCAAGGGAAACCAATATCTATGAAATATCAGAAGGATCCATCCAGTATTTCCTCAGATATAGCAGTAACAAGATTTTACTCTCAAAATCCAAGATGGCTGCCTGTTAGCCATCTTGATTTCGGATCAGTCCAAAAAGGTGTAATGCACAACTTGGAACCAAAGGGAACCTGCATATGAAATTTGTAAAAGATCCATCCAGTACTTTCCAAGAAATAGCAGTAACAAACTTTTACATTCAAAATCCAAGATGGCCACCTGTCTGCCATCTTGAATTCGAATCAGTCAAAAAAGGGTACAATGCACAACAAGGGACCAAGGGGAACCTGCATATGAAATTTGAGAAAGATCCATCCAGTACTTTCCAAGAAATAGCAGTAACAAACTTTAACTTCCAAAATCCAAGATGGCTGCCTGTCGGCCATCTTGAATTCGAATCAGTCCAAAAAATGGTACAATGCACAACTAGGGACTAAGGGGAAACTGCATATGAAATTTGAGAAAGATCCATCCAGTACTTTCCAAGAAATAGCAGTAACAAACTTTAACTTCCAAAATCCAAGATGGCTGCCTATCGGCCATCTTGAATTCGAATCAGTCCAAAAAAGGTACAATGCACAACTAGGGACCAAGGGGAACCTGCATATGAAATTTGAGAAAGATCCATCCAGTACTTTCCAAGAAATAGCAGTAACAAACTTTAACTTCCAAAATCCATGATGGCCACCTGTCGGCCATCTTGAATTCGAATCAGTCCAAAAAAAAGTACAAAGCACAACTAGGGACTAAGGGGAAACTGCATATGAAATTTGAGAAAGATCCATCCAGTACTTTCCAAGAAATAGCTGTAACAAGAATTGTTTACGGACTGATGATGGACCATGAACGCAGGGCAATTTGAATAACCCACCATCTATTAGATGGTGGGCTAAAAAAGTGATTCCCTTTCTACAAAGGGAATGCAGTAGACCAAATTTGGGTATATTCCAACCATTCCTACTGGAGTAGGTTTTTGAAGAATTTGCCCTAATTCTCCTAATTGACCACAACCCTTGTGCCCCCCAGATTCCAGACCTATACCATTTATACAAAATTGATCTAAATGCAATCATTCCTACAGGAATTTTAAATAATTGTTGCAATTCCCCTACTGCGTCCCAGGAAACTGAAACCCACAATTTATATGAAAAGGCCCATGTGTCTTACCACTCACCGAGTTACAAATGCTTCCTGTAACATGTCATCGAAATGACAATGTTATAAAAATAAGTTTAATTACATTGTTAGCATAATTCAAATGTGCCTAACACTAACTACTGTCTTATGCTGAGGCTTCAGTTTGAATTTATAAAGATAATTAAGAAATTGAATTTTCCTTCATAAACTGTCCAATCCATGGACAGAACAGCTCAGAATTTTAACCTATTTTTGGCCCTGCCCATTAGATCAGGTGAAGTCATTATATGCATCTCATCAGTCAGCTTATACTCAAAATTCTAAAAAGTTTGAACTATTTCTTAAAGAAAATGAATTATGCTCAAGGTTTTGAAATATACACTAGTAAATTTCATCCCTTCTCCAAGGGGAAATGTAAGACCCTGGGGTCAAGAAATTAATTTTGGTTAGGCACCGTTAAGACACTTATGTCCATAGTTCTACTTAATCTTGGTATTGAAAGATTTTGGAAATTTCAGCCAGTTTGACCCCGCCCTTCAGCCAGGGTATGTGCATCTCTAATATTAAACTGTCATCTTAAACTGATAATTCTAAAACAAGTATGACCTATTTCTGAAAGAAAATAAAGAATTTATTCTCAAAAATTTTAATTTTTCTATATGAACTATAAAAAGGGGGGGTGGGGGTGGTGTGGTGTGTGTGTGGAGGAGTCCACCGTCCCATGGGTGGTGGAATCCTAGGTGGATACAGGAGTATTCTAGCAGAGCTCCATAGACGATAGGTAATTAAGGATGGAGCATCAACGCCAAGGATTCTGTAGGTTTAGAATTTATTAGTTTACATATTGGCTAGAAATTGATGGAAAGGGCATAAGCATACTTTGGTTATGTGTAACAGGATAGCTGATCATTAATTCAATATCATCCAAAACTAGAATTTTGAAATTCTTTGTAATTATATGGTGCTAAATCTCATTCTACACAAGGGCAGCAAGACTAGCACATACATTTGAATTAGCATAAATTAAAACAAATTAATAATAAAAAATCGACAATTGTAATATTTGACTCTGTTTCTTATCATATGAAGGCAAATAATATTCATAACCAGTCCAAGGTCTTAGCTGAAGACCTCTCAACAGAGAATCTTTGCTGTTGTATTTACAACATGCAATATTCTACTATGAAAACGGAAAACAAAGTACAGGTCCCTTTCTGATATAAATTTATTACAATGTTAAATGATAGACATGAAAATATTAAAACCAAGGGGGAAATGAACACGTACATTTAAAACCAAATACACAAGTAATCATGATTCCAGTCTGGAGACCAACTACAAATCTACACGTATACAAGTCAAGAAGAGTCATGACAGAAAAGACGGAAATATTGTGTTTTTCAGTATTTGTTCCCAATTGATCTGCTTCCATGCTTTTTCCGGTCATTTATAAATCCACTTGCACACAGACAAGGATACATCACAACTGGTCAGTCAACAGCTGCCCAAGAAAAGTGCACATGTTCTTTTTTCCATGAAAAAATCAAAATGAAATTTTCCAGACTGGCAATGCATGGGTTAAAATCCAATGGCTTGATGATGAAGTAAAATGAGATATGAATTGAACGTCCATTCGTGAAGTTTGATGGTTCACACTTGACACGATATCCTAATACACTAAACGGCAAACATACAGCAGGAACTAAACAAATTACGTAGGTTTCTGTGATCCCTTCTTTCCGATGAGAGATTTGTGGATGTGAGGAATGACACCTGAAAGTAAACATAACACAGCATTACACATACTGTAAACAAAGTATAAACACAAGCATTTTTTATTTCATGAAGTCACCATGCACAAAGTTCATCATTTATGATGTTGATAAATTGAAACATTTAATAATTATAAAAGATATTCAGTACACCACAAATTTAAAGTCATGTTTACAACTTTTCATTTATAGAATATTGCAGTTCCATAATAAAACATCGCTTCCATGCCATATGATCGATCGTCTTGCACCAAGAATGATAAATTTTTGACAAAATCGAATACATATATAATAGAGTTCAAGCAAATTAATGCAAATATCTTGATTTTCCCAATTTCAGCCACATTCTTCCAACTATGGGATTGTCAGCTGTTTTATACCAGATTTAGAAAGAATCAGAGTTAGAGCTCTGTGAAACTTTTCAAGACACATGCCCATCAGTCTAGTAAAATGTACTTGTTTAATACAAGAATTCAGAAGTCTAAAAATTTATGCATTTCCCAAATAGTTTATGTACAATATCACTGTAAATTTATTCAGTGAAACAATACAATATAAAATGCCAACACAATCTGAGGATATTGCAATCATTATTAACAATTGCAATCAGTCCCATTTTACGGACATCTTTCAATAGTTTCCTTAGTTGACTGGTAAAAATCCTATTTTTTTTCTTGAGATGATTACTGGTATTAGAGTAGCCTTGCACAAAGGTGCATGAACTCTCATCAATTAAACACTTGTTCAATAAGCAGGATGTAATTGCACTTACCACCACCAGCGATTGTAGCTTTGATAAGTGAATCCAACTCTTCATCTCCACGAATGGCCAATTGCAAGTGACGAGGTGTGATACGCTTTACTTTCAAATCTTTACTAGCATTTCCAGCCAATTCCAGTACCTGTAGAAATATCACACAAGACAATATCGGAATTGTTAATCAGTTAAAATTTTTTTCATTTGCATTCATAGTCAGAAACACACACCCCTCTAACCAAGACAAAATGATAGCTTTCAAAACAGCAACCAATCATTAAAATATTCTAATAAAACTGTAGAAATTTTTTTTTAATAATAGTGATGAAAGCTTCAATAAAGTACTTTGAAAAGCAATTAAGATTGATTCCATTTTTCAAACCAATCTTGTCAAAAAGTGAATCATTCATGCGAAATAATTCATGGTAAACAGAGATGTAGACTAACATGACCAAGACTAACAGAACAATGCCTGAACACTTAAATATTATAGGGTACATTGATACTTATTTCCAACAGGAATGCTTTTTAACCACCATGGTAATCTGAATTGAGCAGACAACAATGAACAGGAATTGTCAAAGTAAGTGTTGGTATACACGTTTCTTTTTTAGTCTACTCTAAATTAATCATAGTAAAACATCTTATTAAAAAGACAAGTATTGCATCCAATGTGGAGTTAAGGTATTTTACGGCACAAACCAAAATATTTGTCCACATTTACCCCCCCAAAAAGTCTCATATTTTTTGTTTATAAAAGGTGTGAATATTCATCTACAGAATGAAACAATGTTAAAAATATATAGACTTCAATCTAAATCCACCATTACACCAACATGTGATTCTAATATAGCTTAAAATGTTCACGACATGTGTCCAAGTTTTCACAATAATTAAAATTGTTGACAAGTATTCAGATTAACAAAGCAAAAAATGTCTTGTTCAAGCAATGGACAGAAGAGTTTTCAAATTCTATGCGAATAGATTTTCTTTAAAGATGTAAACTACCCAAGTAATGTGTGTATACTTAATCTTTTAAGTATCTTATCATCAAATACTTAGTAACCATTGTCACTATTCCCAGTGGACATGTTCCACAATTACAACAGACATCTTCAGAAAAAATTAGATGTGCACCTACCATACTTATCAATTTAAACTGTAGCTTGCCACAGTACATTAATGACACTACTGACCAAAAAGACCTGTGAATATGCTTCAACACATGACCTTTTCATTGCAGTCTTCCTTAATTACTGGAATATACAAATACTCAAGTCTTGTAAATAAATGACATTACATGTATGCTCTACATAAATATTATTAAGATAACTTGAATGTTCCGTATTCCACTGGCAACTGTTGTACCATCCACCACTTCATTACCACATCGTGCAATCTTTAGAAGTTTATCCAAGAGAGAATTAACTTTAACAAGTATTGAGTATTAATCTTAGCTGCAGTCACTTGCGACGCCAAGTTTATGATAATTAGAGCATTTCATCACTATGGGGAACGCATTATAAAGGTACAAGTTCTGTTCGCGTTATGGAACTACTAACATTTGATTGATGATGCAATTGCTTTTCAACTTTCAGCATCAAGAGGATAGAAAATCAATATGGACAAGTATAAAAAAAGACATGTTTAAACCAATTATAAAACCGTCTACCATCCATTATAAAAACGAGTGTGGTATACTAGTTTAGCTATAAAGTAACATACAATATACACAGCAATCGAAAGGGAGACAACATCAATTCAATCATGGCGGTTGGTCCGCCATTTTGACTGCCCGCGAAATTCCAACTAATGTAAACAATTATACGAATTTCTATGTTTGTTGCATGGGATCAGTTGGATTTGCATGAAATATATGTGAAAGCAATTCCTTTCGAGGTACGAGGACCGAATTCATCCTCGAAACATGTATATAAACACGCTTATAAAATGTAAACATTGGGAACTCTTCATTCATCATGATAATAATTCTAACGAAACAAACATCAACAGATACAATTTGGAGTGTCAAACATTTGATCACTGCAATAAATAATATTGTTCCTTACTTCAGCGGTCAGGTATTCCAAAATTGCTGCACTGTACACTGCGGCTGTTGCACCAACTCGACCATGGCTTGTTGTTCTGTTTTTCAAATGTCTGTGAATACGACCAACTGGGAACTGCAAAGAAGCAATATATATTACACACTACCACTACAAAATGCATGTATTGCAAACTATGTACCACTACAATCCAACAAAATAAAATTGTTGAGTGTAATGTTTATATCGCTGTTTACCTGGAGCCCTGCCCTTGCTGAACGAGAAACTGCCTTTGCCTTCGCCTTTCCAGAGTCTTTTCCTGCTTTACCACCTGCCTAAAAATATCAAATAAAAATATTTTGAAGATTTTTTCACGAAAAATAATACTGCAATTATCATATACAAACATTATTTAATGCATGTATTGGTAAATGAAAATCCGATGACCAGGGATTCATTCGATTTTTTGACGGATACATACCATCTTTCTTCAAATTCTTCTCTCGTCCTATTGACTGACTGACGCTCAGACTGTAATACCGCCAAATTACAGCGTATACACAGAAAGTCACGTGACGCTATTAGCCAATAGTAAGCGTTCTCTAACGGACAAAGAATTATAGTAATTTTGACACGCCAGGTACCCTCTGGCTTACTTGACAAGTCTATATATAATACATTCGATTAACAGCATTCATTTTTTGATCTAAACAAATTCATTTATGCGACATTATAACCAATAGATGACATGTCACAAACTGTCTTGCATTACTCCAAAGTATATCAAAACAGACCGACTCGTGTATATAAGATGTAGACTACTTGCTATTAAAACTCATTAATATATATTGAAATTGAGATGAAATATCATGAATTATGGATCAGTTGATGTCTTTTTGATGGCAAAAGTGACCAATGCACATGAAATGCTAGGTCAGAAAAGAAGAGTCTAGTTATATACGGGTAGACAGTATTTGTTAATGTATAAACAATATCAAACCTGAATAGATTTACTCTTTCGTATATATAGCCTGACATCATAGATATATCAATGTACTTTCTATTAGGTACATGTCATTTTCAACTTTTCATCTCCGTATTTTAAAACTCTACCGGTAGAGGGCTTGATACAATCGATTTGTTACACATTTTAAATGTATTTTAACTATTTTTAATCTCGGTAACCTAGAAATGCAAGCATATCAGAATTAGATGAAAATGCAGTTAAAGATTTGAGTGTTATCAGCGTTTGTAGTCTTTGAAAACGACATAATTTTTTTTGAGACAATTCATATCGACATTTGTTGAACTTTGCCCGTGGCATACGTTACATAACACACGGTGTTTAATTGGTTCGGCATAGCAGCTGGACTTCCTGACCTCGTTCAAAGACGTCCAATTAAATTGGCCAAGTCGCCGGTCAGAGCATCATGCAATCAAATTTCGCCGGTTTGTTCTCCTTTCTCACCCGTTTTAAGAACAAAGAAGTTATATAGACACTAGAAGATAACAGGCATTATAGTCTGTTCTGATAGATTACCTATATACAGGCAGAATATTTACTGTATTGTTCTGATATACCTATATACAGGCAGAATATTTACCTGTACTGTTGTGATAAAGTAGCTATATACAGGTAAATATAATTTACCTGTACTGTATTGATAAAGTAGCTATATACAGGTAGAATATTTACCTGTACTGTTGTGATAAAGTAGCTGTATACAGGTGGATTATTTACCTGTACTGTTGTGATAAAGTAGCTATATACAGGTAAATATGATTTACCTGTACTGTATTGATAAAGTAGCTATATACAGGTAGAATATTTACCTGTACTGTTCTGATATACCTATATACAGGCAGAATATTTACCTGTACTGTATTGATAAAGTAGCTATATACAGGTAAATATAATTTACCTATACTGTTGTGATAAAGTAGCTATATACAGGTAGAATATTTAACTGTAACGTATTGATAAAGTAGCTGTATACAGGTGGATTATTTACCTGTACTGTTGTGATAAAGTAGCTATATACAGGTAGAATATTTAACTGTAACGTATTGATAAAGTAGCTGTATACAGGTGGATTATTTACCTGTACTGTTGTGATAAAGTAGCTATAAACAGATAGATTATTTACCTGTCCTCTTTTTAACTATGAAATTGTACATCTGTGTAAATTATAACCATTTTCCTGGTTATGGTAAAAAACTGTTTACCAAATTCCAGCTATTGTCTAATAAGAACACATAAAATCAATTAATTGTAAGCTTAAGTTATTTTATAGGCTACTTTATCAATATCTAAGTTAAAATGTATACAGTGCATAAAATAACATTTTGAAGTGATGAAGCAACATGACGGTACTCAGTAATGAGAGGAAATATATATTACATTGTTATAATCTACGTTATCAGATCAGAGATACAAAGCCGTATATGAGAGCATATTATATAACAAAAGTAATAACATTAATAAAGTGAAACAGTGAATTCGTAGCTCAAGTTTGCATAATTAGCATATTTACATACATTACATACATTAGAAACAAATGTACATATTTGATACATAAACTAGACTTTTAGCACTGATGTAATATTTGTACTGATATCTCCTGAGTAATGATCGTGGCAAAAAGCTGTAGGTGGTTGTAAGGATGGTGTGTGTTTCCAGTAGATGTATTCGTTACACACGATCTACTGTCTACCAAACTTGAATAATATTGGTTATTGATGAGGAATATGTGATAAATGTTACCATCTGACCATACTTTTAAAAAAAGCACACAACTGGATATTCCCACCATTTTAATCACTATTGAATCACAAAATATGGTGTTGTTAAATACAAGCGTGGCTTATGCACAGTGATAAGTAAATAATATTCTGATGTGAATTTAACTTGATTTAAACTATTTTAAATGTTTTTCCCTAAAAGATATCAAACCTTCCAACCATCACCATCACATTCTATTACCTGTACACATTCTATAGGTGTAGCTATGAAAGCATTACATAATATGTAAAAATCAGTTTAAAATGAAAGAAATAACCTTGATGGAAGTTGATGTGAACATAATATATATGAGAGTATGATCCAGGTAATGTGGGAGAATACAGGTAAACAGGTCGACATACAATACAGGTAAACAGGTGGGAGAACAACACAGGCTAGAACACTGACATTCGTCGGGGAGACGATACCCGCACACGTGAAGAGTCGCGGAGACGGAAAGATATCAATTGCAACCAACCAACCTACAACAAAGGTAATAACATTAAAGTTCTACTACACTTGAGGAATTAACATCGCATCATGCTATTACACTGATATTTTATACAGTACGGATAATAATTCCGTTTCCCATTAGTCAGTAAAACTGAATGAATTATATCTGTGGTGTGTGACTATTTAAGCCCCCCCTCCCCTTATTTATTAGTTGGCATTCTCCTAATATTCTTATTTACGTTGGATATTTGATTAATTTGGAGATAGTTGATATTTGGAGATTTAATGTCTCTGATATACAGGTTTGAGCGATAAAGCCACAACATGTCTCCTTTGATAGAAGAATGGCACACTGAATGATTGTAACTCAATTGCCTTCGATATAGCTAAGTCCGTGCCAATTCTTATTTATTATAAGACACCACATAACTTATCTCACTATGTGTAGTTCACCGAGGATCTGACTCAAGTGTTCACTTCGGGTAAGATAAACGAATCTTGTCCTAATTTTTCATTTTATGAACAATTCCTGACGATATTAAGGAATTTCTATATATCGGACTTTTATGTTAGACCATCTTTATTGCACGATATAGATATATTTACAAAAGTTTATAAAAAAAATGTCATTATATCTGACTTTATTAATATCATTTGTCCATGATAATCGGGAGATATGTTGCTCCATCTGTTCTGAGATATATATTAAATGAATGTTGACTAGACTTTGTTCTATTAGGGAGTCACCTCGTTACGGACAGTTGGAAGTTTAATGAAGTGCACAGGAAAGATATCTTGTATGAACTTGCACGTTACTGTCATCTTCTTTCCATCAGATATTTTTTAATACTAGATAATTGGAAATTTATATTGAATAATACCAAGTTTGAAATTATACTTCGCGCTTTAAAATCATCTTGATGTATAACGTATTTACTTCTCGCCATATTGAAACAGCATATATTTTAACAATTTATACCAAATACAAGAATCTCTCGTATATTGGAATATTGCAATGACGACATATGATAATTCGGTTATACGGAACTGACTACAACAATACCGATGTCAACAGATGGCGTTTGTATATTTGTTTACTAGATTTAAAAAAAAGATTATATTCAGATGATATTATATTGATAAGCTTTCCAAACCATGACAATTACTATGATATCCTGGTGTCGTCTAAAAACCACCTGTCTAATATTGTTGAGAACATTAAGAAATTTATTTAAATTGGCGACGAACTTCGACATACCTTAAAAATACACTGGAAATGCATTTTTAACCAGTGTTAAGATTGGAGTTGCCTCCCTTGGACTACATGCAATACCTACTGCAGCTGTTCATAGACAGGGTGCTGAATAATAGAGAACCAAACCGGTCATTTTTGTCAAAAGAGATCTAATATGATACCGAAATAGTTTCATTGAATTTTTAATCGGCTAGTATCTGCATTTTAACAGGTGAAATACCTCCCGAAATAAAAACTCCGCTGCCTTATTGGCCCTCAACGAGTCAGCTTTGAAGTCTGGTCACCGATTTCCTAGTAGTGTAGAAAGACAAGCTAAAATCAAGTACAGATTTACGCCGCAAAATGTTCCACCAGAGTTTGAGTTGCAAACATTGGCAATACGACTTTAACATATTTTTGCCTAAAAAATATGACGATATTGGATTTCTTTGTACTTTTGAATGTAAAAATACGATGAATCAATCGCCTTATACGTTTGAATCGAACTGCACATTTTATGAGATTTTCATTCATGACCATGCAATGGCATAAAGAAATAAAATTTGGCAGTGCCCAGGTATTTTACCTTCAACTTGAACAATATCTTTCCTCAAACTGTTTTTTTAAAGGACCTCTAAATGTTTACACGATTATCATATCCAATTTTTGTACGTTTACTATTGGAAATACTAATTCAAGGTATGGTTTTAAAGTATGGTCAAGCTTTGGTGGTGAAACACCAACCGAATGCCTAGATAATGTTTTTATTCAGGTTTTAGTCCAAGTTAAATATTCATTAAACTTCAAAAACACTTATAGAAATTTAGTATCCCTGACTCATTTCATTTCTTTCGATAAACGATACTTTTGATCTTCATGCAACTTAATAAAAAAAAAATGTTCATGTTTTGATCATGATTCCCCTCAGTGTTTCGCAAATCGTACACAGTTTCTGGAAGATCAAATCATGATCACTTAAATGATTCATACAAACTTGCATGATGTTTTTGATCAGTTGCATTCATTGTTTAAAAATCTCTTCAGTAAGCATTGCCTCTAAAGATAACTTGTACAGAAA